ATGTTGTTTTTAAGGTCATTAAAGACATCATTACACCGCTCCTTTTCACCCCTCCACACAGATGTTGTTTTTAAGGTCGTTAAAGACCTCATTAAATATGTGCAGAAAGGTAAAATGTCTGAAAAGGGATAGTTTATGTGAAAAACTCCCATGGGAAAGGAATGGAGTTAAGATCGAGGCAGAGATAAGGATTGACTTTTGACCTTGTGAAACTTTGGAATTTCACGGTCTGGTCAGAACTATTGAACCCGACCAGAAGTGAATTCAGCCAGTAAAAACACTTGGGGGAGGTGAGCAGCTCAGACAGCTCCTCCTCACGGACTCTCTGATTCGCTTGGGAGTAAAAGGGGACGGAAGAGTCGACACATCTCCGCCCCAAAATAAGGATATGAATACTGATGTTTTTGTATGTAAAAGTGCTTTTTGGTTTGGTGAGTGGCTGGTCCCGACATCTGTGTCCGCATCGCATCACAAACCTGAAGTCCGGAGTACTCTGTATAACTTGTATGTGAGTGGCTGGTCCCGACATCTGTGTCCGCATCGCATCACAGACCTGAAGTCCGGAGTACTCTGTATAACTTGTATATGTGTTTGGTTTCCTACCAGAAGTAAACTCAGATAATTGTTATAACTTTTGATTCCGGTGTTTTCAATTCCTTTCTTTATTTTAATAGAGATTTCAGCCTCATCCAACGAACGGCGTGTAGCAGAGGGGGTGGCTATCAGCCACCACAATAGGTGTTCTGCTCCAACAGTCATGAAGAATATGTTTCTCTGTTGTCCACGTTCATAAAGCATAAAACAACAGCATCAGAGCACGGTGCAGAGTCTCTAGATGAGTTTACAGTAGTCCCTCGTTCTTATTAAACATCCATGTTGTAGTCCGCTGTATAGAAAACTGTAGTTTCCATAGTTTCCCCACAGCAGCAGACGCACATTTATGACGTCCGCTGGCGCATCATAAACACGTCGGATAGTGAAAGTGCAGTCGGATTCTCTAAAGTACCGCAGTCTCTTCTCCTAAATCCTTTTGAATTCTCCTATCCACTATCCCTTAACCCCGTGACGTTTCACTCAGAGGTTAAGGAATAGACGATAGGGTTAGAACTTAGGAGCTGATTTTTGGACTATTCGACCGCAACCTTTGTCATTCCAGGATTTAGCTGTATAAGGCATGATAGAGATAATAATCAAAATGGTGGAGGGTGTGCCACGTTTCTCAAAGATGGTGTGGCATAGGGAGGTGCAATCTCCTGATGATATAGAGTGTATTATAGTGGAAATCTGCAACCCTAGGAAACAAGATAACATTAGGATAATCAATTTATACAACCCATGTAAAAATCTAACCACTGATATATTTAAAGAAATAGCAGGCAATAAACATAGGAAGGAAGTTTGGTGTGGGGATTTCAATGCACACAACAGTCTATGGGGCAGCAACCATACAGACAGTAACGGAAATATAGTGGAAGAAATGCTGGAGGAAAGAACACTAGTATGCCTTAATGATGGACATGGCACAAGATATACACAGGGGGAAAGTCTCATGCCTGGATCTGACATTAGTGTCAAACTGTTTGGTTCATACATGCGAATGGTTTGTTTTGAATAACTCCACAGTAGGAAGTGACCATTATCCAGTGCTTACTAAAATGAATAATAATGTATATATGCAGGCAGGAGGTGTAATAACCAGGTGGTGCTTTGCTAAAGCTGATTGGGGGAAATGTAGGACATGAGCAGGAGTCGGTACACCTGCTAACATCAGAGGGAAGCATAGAGGTAATTACAAGCCAAATAACGCAACATATTCTAAATGCAGCAGAGAACAGTATACCCAAAACAACAACCAAGGGTAGGAAGAAAGTGGTGCCATGGTGGAATGAGGAATGCAGCAGGGCTATTAAAGAGCGAAATAATGCATTTAGAGAATTAAAGAAAAACATGACACAAAATAATGTTATAGAGTTTCAAAAGAAAAGGGCAGCTGCTCGAAGGACAATCAAATACACAAAAAAGAGAACATGGAGAGAATTTTGTTCTACCATTGGCAGAGGAGTAAAATTAGGTGATGTCTGGTCCATGTTTAAGCGGATGAGTGGGAAAAGGAAATCCATTAAAATTCCAGCTTTGGTTGATGGGGAGAGGCTGGCAGTGACAGATAAAGAGAATGCAGACATGTTAGGAAGGACACTTGCAGCAGTACATAGCGGGGAACATCTCAGTGATATTCATAGGCAGCAAAAACAGCAGTTACTAGCAGAGAATGAAAACGTGAAGGAGAAGAGACAGGATAATAGGTCAGCTCTTGATGTGGAATTTACAATGTCAGAACTCAAAATAGCCTTACAAGGTACAGGATATACAGCCCCAGGACAAGACCAGCTATGTTATGCTATGTTTAGACAGTTACCTATGGAAACTATGACAATTGCTGAGTCTTTTCAACACAATCTGGAGAGAAGGAGATAAGCCAAGTTTGTGGAAAACAGCAGTCGTGCTACCATTCAATAAGCCAGGGAAAGATACAGCTAACCCTAGTAACTACAGACCAATAGCTCTTACATCACACCTATGTAAATGGATGGAAAAGATCATTGTCCGTAGGCTCTCACATGTACTGGAGCAGAAAGGGCTGCTGAGTAGTTTTCAGAGCGGATTTCGTAAAGGGCGGTCCACAATAGATGCGTTAGTAAGAGTGGGTAATGACGTGGAAAAAACATTGAAAATGAAAGAGATAATGGCAATAGTGTACTTTGACATTGAAAAGGCGTATGACTGTATGTGGAGGGATGGGTTACTGATCAAATTGAGTAGAATGGGTATTGGAGGGAGAATGTACAATTGGGTAAGGGCCTTTTTAACAGACAGGACATTTAGAGTAAAGGTTGGAGCAGATATTTCCAATTATTTTGAAATAGAAAATGGTATCCCCCAAGGGAGTGCAGTCAGTCCAATATTATTTAACATCATGATTAATGATATATTGACATGCTTAGACACATGCATCCAATCGGCTCTATACGCAGATGATGGGGCTATTTGGATGAGGGGAAGAAATGCCCCATACGTAATGGAGAATATAGCTAGAGCGATTAAAAAAGTGGAGAGGTGGTCATATAACTGGGGATTCAAAATGTCAGAAAGCAAGTCATGCTATATGGTATTCACAAACAAACGCAAGATTGATGGCCAACAGCTAACACTATATGATCGTCCAATGACAAAGGTGAATGAGTTCAAATACCTAGGACTGTGGTTTGATAGCAAATATACATGGAAAATGCATATTAATCAAGTGGAAACAAAATGCAAAAAAGTATTACATTTATTGCGAGCTGTAGCTGGATGCAACTGGGGCGCAGACAAACAAGCATTAATAAACATTTACAGATCAATTATGAGGTCCACAATAGACTATGGTTGTATAGTGTATGGAGCAGCAGCAAAAACATCACTTTTAAAAATTGATAGAATACAATATAAAGCATTGCGGTTGTGTATTGGAGCGATAAAGTCATCCCCTATCAATGCAGTTCTGATAGAAGCAGGAGAGACACCTCTGGAGATCAGAAGAGAGAAACTTGCTCTGTCATACTGGGTCAGACTACAAGGAAGTGGAGAAGAAAATATTTCAAACAGAATATTACAGGATTGCAGGGAATATGCAAAGTTCCAGGGACGTGGGTTTGGCTGGACGAGTAAGGAAAGAACGAGGGCATATGGAGTGGAGAATATCACGTTTGCCAAAGCAACCCCATTTAGTAGTGTTCCCCCATGGCTTTTCCCAGAAGCTAACATAGATATGAGTATTGTAGAAAGGAAAAACCAGTGGCAAATAAATGAAGTGGGAATTAAAACAAGTATGTATCTGAATGAAAAGTACTACAATTACCTACAAATGTACACAGATGGTTCTAAGAACAAGGAAGAGTGTGTTGGAATTGGTATATACATCCCAGAATTTAAAATATCTATTTCAAAAAGAGCGTCTGATCAATTATCAGTGTACACAGCAGAAACGCTTGCTGTAATAATAGGATTACAGTGGGTTGAAGAGGTCAGACCAGATAGGGTGGTGATGTGCACAGATTCATTATCCATATTACAAAGCATACAATCAACAACAACTGCCAGAGAAGACATTCTCATAGAACTGAATCATAGCTTGTTAAGACTTCACAGAGGCGGCATAGATCTGCAGTTCTGCTGGGTGCCTGCACATGAGGGGGTGAAAGGGAACGAATGTGCTGATAAATGAGCAAAAAGTGCACTTCAAAAGGAAATCACATTACCAGTTCAACTTGGTAAAGGAGAAGGAAAAGCAGTGATTAAGAAGAAAGGGATGGAGATCTGGCAGAAAAGGTGGGAGAAAGACCAGAAAGGCAAAGACTATCACAAAGTACAAAGGACAATTACAATTCATATTTATAAAGAAAGAAACAGAAGGGAGGAAATCACGATCGCTAGACTCAGAATAAATCACACTTGAATGGTACGCTGTATGTCATGGGGAAAAGTGACAGTGACAAGTGTGGGAACTGTGGAGTAAAAGAAGATGTAGAACATATCTTGTTACATTGTGACATCTATAAAGCGGAAAGAGAAAAACTAAAGGCTAAAGTTTTAGAGGCAGAGAGGGAATGGAGTGTGGTTGGTGTTTTGGGAACAAAAGGAGAGGGAGTAAGAGCTACCAGAAAGGCACTGTTTACATTCTTGAGTGAAACTGGGGTAGGAAAAATAATTTAACATTAGGTCAAGAAAGAACATAGATTTTTATTTTTGTTTTATTTATTTCATGTTTTTTGTTGATTTATTTATTTATTTTTATTTATTTTAATTAGATCATAGGTTAAAGAGTTGGTATGATATGATGATTCATACTCATGTACAGTAGGTGGCGGTATGCACCTTTTAAGTTGTTTGCAATCCGCCAAAAACGAAGAGAAGAAGAAGAAGAAGACTTCAGGCGAACTTTTTGAGACCTCCCCCGGCTGCAATCGGCTATTCTCGTCTACTTTCGAGGCGAGCCGCAACTCATCTCAAACAAGCCTATTGACTGCTTTTGGGATCATGTGACTGCTCAACAGCACTGTCACGTGACGCACAGAGCGTGAGCGTGCACACAGCGGTATCCGGCAGAAATCATGGAGCTGCTGCGGGTCGCGGTGTTCCTCGGGCTGTGTCTGGGGGCCTGCAGCTGTCAGGCCGTGGTTCTGAGCGACTCAGCGGGCCTGGGGAGAGGCTTCGACGGGATAGGAGGTCTGAGCGGCGGAGGGGTGAGTTTAGCAACGCTTCCATCTACTTCCGGTACCGTGACGAGCTGTCCACAGAGGGAGCGAGAGAAAGAACCTCAGCTGATGAGTCTGTCTGTTTATCTCAGCAGAGAAGTACTCAGATATTCTACTAAAGTAAAAGTAGAAGTACCAAAGAGCAGGAATATTCTGTTACAAGTAAAAGTCTTGCAATAAAAAATGTACTCAAGTAAAAGTACAGAAGGTGTAACTAAAGTCTGATTTAAGAGTTGATAATATTTCACATCATTAATCCAAATCTGTAGTAACTAAAGGTATTAAATAAATGTAGTGGAGTAAAAGTACACTATATTTCAATTTGTTAGAATAGTCTTAAAATAGTTTTTAGAATAGCTCCCGACAGTACTATTTTTTTATTTTATTTTGGTTACGTATTCTTCTTTCTGTGTCTCTGTATGCACCACATATACCAAAGCATATTCCTCGCATGTGTAAACCTACTTGGTAATAACACTGATTCTGATTCTTATTTACCTCTGAACTGTAGTGGAGTAGAAGCACAAAGTAGCAAAAAATTGAAATACTCAAGTAAAGTACAAGTACCTCAAAATTGTACTTTAGCACAGTACTTTAGTAAATGTACTTAGTTACTTTACACCTCTGATTCTCATTTACATTTGTCTACTTGTTCCCAGGCGACGTCTCGGTTACTGGTGAATTATGCCGAGCCCTACCGCAGCCAGATATTAGACTTCCTGTTTAAGGTATGAAATGATAAAGCTATTCGTTCAGTTCAGTTGAACGTTTTCGGACACTAATGCACGCCTTTCATTTGTTTGCCTTCAGCCGAACTTTGGAGCTTCCTTGCACATACTGAAGGTGGAGATCGGAGGAGACGCTCAGACTACTGGTCAGTGATATTCAGTAACACAGAGACCAGGTTGGGGAGTAACGGATTACATAATGGGATTATGACAGGATACCAAAAAAAACGAACTGTATTCCCTTACAGTGACATTAAGATAAGACGTAATCAGATTGCTGTTACATTTAAAAAATAAAAAATAAATGTTATTTATAAGCGCACTTTTCATTTGCGTAAACAAAACTCAAAGTGCTACAGATTACTTGCAGGATTACAATGAATCAATAAAGAATGCTATATTATAGGTAGACGTACTGCCTGCATTTTCTTTTTGGTTATCATCCAGGCTACTTTCATTCTTCTATTTTTAAATATCTTTTTTGAATGAAGTAAGTGGAACAATGTATCGAAACAAAAATACTGTTTGCTTTTAATAAATATATTAAACTAAAACACTTTTTGAAAGCACTACTATTCTCTAGGACACATTGTTGATCCTAAATATGTTGTTTTTTCTTTTCTAAGGTCACATTGTTCTGTTTAGTACAGCGGTTAAGCACATAATATGGAAGGTATTGTGCACTTTATGAAAGAAGCATGACATTTTCACCAGTGTTAGTACATATGATGAGGTTTGATTTCAGATGTGGAGGCATTTATGATTGGACCTCTGAAGACCTCGAGAGGTCAATTACCGCAAACAATGTTGAATTCCAATTTTTGGCGTTCATGACAAGGATAAGCTAATGTTAACAGTCATATTCATACCCCATGGACACTTTTTACATTCAAATATTGTACAAAGACTGTGCAAGGTATATTATTTTTTAATAAGCTTAAAGTTACACTTGCCAAATGCTAAAAGAAGTCAAATGAACTGAAGTCAACTGTAAATGCGGAACTTGCTCATATATTGTAAATGTACCTGTTAGAGCCACAATGAAGTCAAAGTTATTATTTAGATTCATAATTTGATAAATGAATTAATGATGGAAAATGATTTATATTGCCATGGTGAATATCTTTTGATGAAATGATTGTTCATTTTAAATCGTTTCCTTGTACCTTCCGGTGTTTATTTAAGTGAGGCAATTGAGGACAGCCGCGGTTCTCTGAGACCTGATGAGACGGGGAGTGGAACAGTTTTTCGACCGCAAATTGTAAACAGAAATTAGTGTTGCAAATTGGACTGCAAAGTATAGTTTATATAAGAAAGTTTATCGCTGAAATATTGATTTAGATTTGTTATTTTGAGACTATTTAAGTCAATACTTTTTTGTTAATAAATTAGATTTTTTGACTGAAAACCTTCGGCTGCTTATTGCTTTGGATTGCGTGTCGTCAACCCCGCTCTCTAGTGGCAAAAGGAAACCTTGGATGCCACTACAGTACCTATATATAAACTATATGAAAACAATGCTGATAACATTTGTTTTGTTCCATACAGTGATTACACTGATTCAGGATAACCATACTGGTTAATTCTAGTTCTTGCAATCTCCTGAGCAGTAACACAGGACAGTGCATTTGAGCGCTGCCTTGGCGCATTTACAGTGTCCAGTGCATCCCTTCCTGCAGCCACAGTGGATTAGTTCATAACATGACTTTGATGCCTCTGGAAGTGTGGTCCAAAGTGGTTGCCACTCTGTTCCCTCCTTCACCCAACCCCAATCAGAAGGGCTTGGCAGCACAGGGTTAGACACGGTGGTTTGGAATCACCGTGAGGGGTTCCAATCGCTATAATGACCAGCTAGCTGCATATTACCCCACCTATTACACAACTTGTTACTAAAACAATCTGTCATTTGACACAAAATATTGCTATGGCTTAACTGCAGCGACAGCAACATACCTTAAAACGACAGAAGCACTGATCAAGGTTTTCTGTAACTGTCACAGTCTGTTCACTGTGTTCCCTTTACTGTTTACTTCCTGTCTGTGTTGTTCTGCTGTTCCCTTTAGTGTTTACTTCCTCTCTGTCTTCTGCTGTTCCTTTTACTGTTTACTTCCTGTCTGTTTTCTTCAAAGAGTGAAATAGTATACACTATTAACACTGCCGACATGTTTTTTTTCTTTCTTTAGTTAATGTTTTTTTATATATAAACGAACTACGGGTGCTGCAGATGTTATGACGGAACGCGAGAAAAAATACAAAAACATTGGCGACTGCCATCGGTGAATGTCCCCTCATTTGCCGATGTGCCGATGGCAGTAAATATGGCCCTTTATATCCCTTTAGTGTTTACTTCCTGTCTGTCTTCTTCTGCTGTTCCCTTTAGTGTTTACTTCCTGTCTGTCTTCTTCTGCTGTTCCCTTTAGTGGTTACTTCCTGTCTGTCTTCTTCTGCTGTTCCCTTTAGTGGTTACTTCCAGTCTGTCTTCTTCTGCTGTTCCCTTTAGTCCCCGTCTTCTTCTGCTGTTCCCTTTAGTGTTTACTTCTAGTCTGTCTTCTTCTGCTGTTCCCTTTTGTGGTTACTTCCAGTCTGTCTTCTTCTGCTGTTCCCTTTAGTGTTTACTTCCTACTAGTGTCTGTTTTTTCTGTTGATTTCTATGTTGTCCGGCTCTCTTGAGTTTTTGAACTCTTTCCTTATCTTGCTCTGTTTTCTTGTTGTTTACTGGGGGACAGTTCAGTCATCATGATTCCAAAGTTGTATGCTCTCACAAATATAAAAATGGATAATCAGAAAGTATTTCATGGTGTCCGCTGACATTTAATTGACAGCCCTTTCTTCTGAGGATAGATATGACTGCACATAGACCTGCTTTTGTAAGTGAAAGAGAACACCGCTAAATGTCCAGCTTGAACAATCAGAATTGAGTATTCACATGGGCTCTCTAGGTCGTCCTCAGACGAGCCCTCCATCGTCGCTTCCAGTCATCCCGGTTTCTCCATACATCTGGCTGTGTAATAAAACTCAAATGATTAGATGTACCATGTAGGCCTTTGTCTTTATCTTGGTCTTTGGTTTAAACCTCTTTGCATTGCTTATGCTGTTAGTTTGACATTTATTCTATATTAGTGTTACACAATGCGTCTTGAGCCTGCATGTGTGTGTTGATGCAGGTTTGCCCTATATATATATATATATATATATATATATATATATATATATATATAATAGGCTTGCACTAGTTGTCTTACATAATACACTTCGGTGAAAAACATCTTATTTATATTTCTTTCTCTATTGTTTATTTGCACTGGATTTGATGTTGAGGTAATCCAAAAGTAACAGAAAGTAATCAGGTTACATTACTTTTATATTTTGATACTCGGATTATGTTACTGATTACAATTCTTTTTTTACAGGTAACTAGTAATTGTAATCGATTACATTTTTACAAGTAACCCTCCCAACCCTGATAACAACTTATTATTGTATTATCATGAAATCATACTCCAAGAGCCCAAGTTGATTGGGTTGGATAAAAGTCTTAAACCCAAATATAATTAATCTAACTTTAGCTCTCTTTACCTTACATATTTGCTTCATTAAATGTTTTGACAATTTATACGATAATACAATTGTTCATGTTCTTTAATTTGACTAATACATATCTTGTCTAGTCAGTGTCAGCACTACCAACTAGTGGTACATTAATTAACTTCTGGTTTTCCCAAATCTAAACCCAAATAAGCTGAAAAGTGCAAAATCAGTAATAATTTAAAAAAAGACTATGTTTTACTATAACCATGGTGATATAATTCAAAGGATTAAATATAACATTACTTAAAATGTATAAAGTATAGTAACAAAGTAATAAAATGTGACCATGTGGGATGATGTCAGCACACATGGAAAGACAATTCATTTCACACATTTCTTACGGGGATGGATAGATCATTTATGGGAACTAACTAATTCTCGCTACTAACAGAACTCCAACATTTAGTGTATTGTGACTGTTTAGATTCCCTAGCAACCAAGTCATTGATATACTTTGGATCTATTGATGACAACATGAAAACAGGCTTCATGCATCGTGTTAATGAAATTACATTGGATTATTATCTATTTCCAGATGGAACGGAGCCATCACACATGCACTATGAGAATGATGAGAACTACTTCAGAGGGTATGAGTGGTGGCTGATGAGAGAGGCCAAGAGGAGGAACCCAAACATCACACTGATAGGTAACACGGCCATTTCTTCCATTCCATGAAAGTCAAACAGCCGACCCAGGATCAGGAACCCAACACGGTGGTTTGGAATCACCGTGAGGGGTTCCAATCGCTATAATGACCAGCTAGCTGCATATTACCCCACCTATTACACAACTTGTTACTAAAACAATCTGTCATTTGACACAAAATATTGCTATGGCTTAACTGCAGCGACAGCAACATACCTTAAAACGACAGAAGCACTAATCAAGGTTTTCTGTAACTGTCACAGTCTGTTCACTGTGTTCCCTTTAGTGTTTACTTCCTCTCTGTCTTCTGCTGTTCCTTTTACTGTTTGCTTCCTCTCTGTCTTCTGATGTTCCTTTTACTGTTTGCTTCCTCTCTGTCTTCTGATGTTCCTTTTACTGTTTGCTTCCTGTCTGTTTTCTTCAAAGAGTGAAATAGTCCCACACTGCCGACATGTTTCTTTTTTTTCTTTAGTTAATGTTTTTGTTCTGGGTGCCGCAGATGTTATGACGGAACGCGAGAAAAAATACAAAAACATTGGCGACTGCCATCGGTGAATGTCCCCTCATTTGCCGATGTGCCGATGGCAGTAAATATGGCCCTTTATATCCCTTTAGTGTTTACTTCCTGTCTGTCTTCTTCTGCTGTTCCCTTTAGTGGTTACTTCCTGTCTGTCTTCTTCTGTTGTTCTCTTTAGTGGTTACTTCCAGTCTGTCTTCTTCTGCTGTTCCCTTTAGTCCCCGTCTTCTTCTGCTGTTCCCTTTAGTGTTTACTTCCTGTCTGTCTTCTTCTGCTGTTCCCTTTAGTGGTTACTTCCAGTCTGTCTTCTTCTGCTGTTCCCTTTAGTCCCTGTCTTCTTCTGATGTTCCCTTTAGTGTTTACTTCCTGTCTGTCTTCTTCTGCTGTTCCCTTTAGTGGTTACTTCCAGTCTGTCTTCTTCTGCTGTTCCCTTTAGTCCCTGTCTGTCTTCTTCTGCTGTTCCCTTTAGTGGTTACTTCCTGTCTGTCTGTCTTCTTCTGCTGTTCCCTTTAGTGGTTACTTCCAGTCTGTCTTCTTCTGCTGTTCCCTTTAGTCCCTGTCTGTCTTCTTCTGCTGTTCCCTTTAGTGGTTACTTCCTGTCTGTCTGTCTTCTTCTGCTGTTCCCTTTAGTGGTTACTTCCAGTCTGTCTTCTTCTGCTGTTCCCTTTAGTCCCTGTCTTCTTCTGCTGTTCCCTTTAGTGTTTACTTCCAGTCTGTCTTCTTCTGCTGTTCCCTTTAGTGGTTACTTCCAGTCTGTCTTCTTCTGCTGTTCCCTTTAGTGTTTACTTCCTACTAGTGTCTGTTTTTTCTGTTGATTTCTATGTTGTCCGGCTCTCTTGAGTTTTTGAACTCTTTCCTTATCTTGCTCTGTTTTCTTGTTGTTTACTGGGGGACAGTTCAGTCATCATGATTCCAAAGTTGTATGCTCTCACAAATATAAAAATGGATAATCAGAAAGTATTTCATGGTGTCCGCTGACATTTAATTGACAGCCCTTTCTTCTGAGGATAGATATGACTGCACATAGACCTGCTTTTGTAAGTGAAAGAGAACACCGCTAAATGTCCAGCTTGAACAATCAGAATTGAGTATTCACATGGGCTCTCTAGGTCGTCCTCAGACGAGCCCTCCATCGTCGCTTCCAGTCATCCCGGTTTCTCCATACATCTGGCTGTGTAATAAAACTCAAATGATTAGATGTACCATGTAGGCCTTTGTCTTTATCTTGGTCTTTGGTTTAAACCTCTTTGCATTGCTTATGCTGTTAGTTTGACATTTATTCTATATTAGTGTTACACAATGCGTCTTGAGCCTGCATGTGTGTGTTGGTGTGTGTTGATGCAGGTTTGCCCTGGGCGTTTCCTGGGTGGGTGGGTCACGGTAAGAGCTGGCCCTATGACTTCCCAGACATCACTGCATCATACGTGGTGAAATGGATCCTCGGTGCCAAGCAGTACCATGACCTGGACATCCACTATGTGGGGGTGTGTTTTCTGTTTAATCTCACTCCTTCTCGAACTTTGCATAATTACATTACATGTCACTTGTTAGACGGTTGTTAGAAGCTTGTCTGATATACAAGGCTTTTATCCAAATTGCCTTTTATATCAGATCCGCCCAAACCTTCAACAAGTTAGTACAGCTGTGCTACTTAGTTGTGTGGTGAGTTGTATGAGGTTGATGAAATATTATGTTAGAAAACATTGTTTTTGTGGAACTTGCAGTAAGGAGTAGGGATCATTGTGTTGGTTCAATAGATAACAATGTCTCTGTGCACCTCTACAACAACTTAAGGTTAATGTAGAGACAAAGTGTAGTAGAATCATTCTAACATGTAATGCATCATGTTCTTAATGAACATGGCTGGTCTGCTGTGTTACTAAAACCTACTTTCATCTGTTTAGATCTGGAATGAGCGAAACTTTGACGTCAAGTACATCAAGGTAATCCAACCTCTTGTCTTTCTGTTCTCTCACTGATTTCTCTGACTATTTAGCATGATGAAAAAGCTTAACCTAAACTGTGAAAGTCTAAAAACAGCCACAAACATTGAGTCTGGTCCCAGAGCTGCCTGTGGGCTCAGATGTGGAGATGATGGAGATGTGTTTGTTGCCAAGGTGCTGCGGAACACGCTGGATAAAGTGGGTCTGACCGGGGTGGGCATCATCGCAGCAGACGGGGACTGGAGCATCGCTGACTCTCTGAACGCTGACCCGCACCTTAGCGAGTGTGTGGAGGTCGTCGGGTGAGTACAGCTCCATGTCTCACTCTGGAGAATCACTCCACCTAACGGCAGGGACATTTTGGGGAGTGGGCTTTCAACCAAAAGATCACTGATTGACTAAACCTGTTGAAATGTCCACTGCCCCTCATCTGGCCATTTCTTCTTCTCTATAAATGGAAGTGCTCTGCTGGATCACTCTGAATGTTTGTGGCTGTTTTTTCGTTTGGGAGAGTTCAATCATTAATTTACTTGATAATCTGCATACGTGCAATCTTCACCACTAAACATTTTGATGTAATCAACCTTACAGTGTATTGCTGCCATCATGTGGTTGTAAAACTGCATACATTTTATGTTATCCATTAATAATCACCCATAATTGTTGCTCTTCCACTGTACAAAGAGTTTAAGCCTTGCTCTGTTTATCCAGACCACAAACTCTATTCTCATTAAGTTCATTTCCCTTAATTTCCCTCATTGCACACATTACATTTATTTCGGTACATGGTTTTAGTATGCTTTTATCCCTAGTGTCTTCCATATAATTTGATCCTGGGGCCAGGGGTCCAACTCCTGACCCCAATGTCAGACACAGATCAAGACTCCTGGTAAACAAAGGGAAATGTTTAGCAGATCAAGAGCCAGATCATTGACTCAGGAGTTAAAGTGAGTAAATATTGGACTTGTGTCGGTTGCCCAGAATCAGAATTGGTTTTATTACCAAGTAGGTTTACACATACGAGGAATTTGCTTTGGTATATGTGGTGCATAAAGAGACACAGAAAGAAGAATAGCAAAACATTGTACTATTATAAAAGCTATTTTAAGACTCTTGTAACAAATAAAAAATAAAGACAATATTTACACAAAATATAAATATGTGAAAAACTGAGTACAGATACTACATTTAAAGTGGAGAGCTGTGGGCTGTAACCCTAACCCTGCAGATTGAAACACAAGTAGTGTGGAGCAGAAATGTGCAACATGTACAAAGGGTTGTGCAGGATTTACAATATTAAAAATAAATTGGGGAAAGGATATGTGAGTAGCTTTCCAACTGTTTGTCTTCCCCAAGAGAATCAATGAACACAGTTGTAAAATCATTTGTTTATTCAAAGTCCTACATGGTGGCAGCAGCATCACTGTTTGTGTTCCTCTGCCGCTGGCTGAGCAGCTGCTGCGCTACACTCTGGATAAGAGTGGTCTGGAGGGGGTCCGGATCATAGCCAGTGACAACCTGTGGCAGCCCATCACCCTGTCTCTGCTGCAAGACCCCGAGCTGGGGGGGGCTGTAGACGTGATAGGGTAGGAGCCTCCTCTCAGCATCCACCTGTTGCCATAACAACAGCTTGTTTTGAGAATCTGTCTCTAACCTAATGAGAGTACTGAGCAGTGCTCATCTTTAAAGGTCCCATGTCATGCTTTTCCAGTTATTACCCGTCCCCTTGTGTGTTATGAAGGTTTTTATGCATGTAAACGGTGTGCAGAGTCAAAACCCTCAAAGTACACCCTGTAGCGAGTAAAACTCTAACACAGAAAATACCTCCCCAAAACGCCTCGTTGGAGATACGTCATTGTCCATTTGATTCTTCCATTTCGTTCCGGATACGGCATGATGTCATGCCGTACCCGGAACGAAATGGACTAATCCGTGGAGCCGTTACGTTACGTCCGCGGAGCCGTTACGTTAAGCCCCCGCTGATTGGTCCAAATTGACCAATCCACGGACTTCCTCACACACACATCTGTGTGCAGGGAGCAGCTCAGCTGATTTCTCCTCCCTGGCTGCAGGCTGATAACAGACAGTTGGGATCGCGGCAAAATTCTCTCTGCAGACCCATTCTCACAGCGTTTATCAACCTTTTTCTTACTCAATATCAAGCCACACTTATTGTTTTTACTTCGGCTGTGACTTTGTGTGTGCTCAGGATGAGTTTCGCTGTGTATCCTAAACAAGGAAACAACACCTCCACGGAGCTCAGCGCGATTCACAACGTCCCGACCAATCAGAGCACACTGTGCTCACAGGGAGGGTGGGGGCTGGAGCTATTGGAGCTACAACGAGCCGTTAAAGGCAGAGAGTGAAATTCAGTGAATACACGTAGTTTACAGAGATGCTGTTTGAGAAACCAATGTGAGTTTGGAAAATTGCACAGTATAAATCTATTTTAGTATACCTCAACAATGGAATTATGATCAGTGGAAATGGCCATGACATCGGCCCTTTAAAGGGTTATAGTCTTTATCTGCATGTACTGGACTAACAATACTAATACGCATGTGGCCACAGCCTTTGTGTTTTTTGTATGTGTGCGTAAGCTCCTTGTTTTTTTTTAAGCTACTATACTAGCAATGTAAGTAATATCAATTATTTGGCAAATATATATCACGGAATATGTATACGTTTGTTAGATAAAGGGCTAGGCAGTATGGAGAAAATCAAACATCACAAAAATGTATAGTATTGGATAAATATATTAAGATATTGTAGGGTTGGCTTTTAGTGCTTTCACAAACCATTAGCACAAAAATATTGTTAATAAAAAAATGATCACTTATGTACACTACCAGTCATAAGTTTGGACACACCTTCAAATTTGAAGTTTTTCATTCATTCTAATTTGTTCTACTTTGTAGATTAATACTGAAGACATCAAAACTATAAAAGAACACATATGGAATTATCTAGTAAACAAAAAAGTGTTAAAAAATCCAGAATATGATTTTTATTTTAGATTCTTCAAAGTAGCCCCCTTTTGCCTTGATGACAGCTTTGCACACTCTTGGCTTCTCTCAGTCAGCTTCATGAGGTCGTCACCTGGAATGGTTTTCAATTAACACGTGTGCCTTGTCAAGAGTCCGTTTGTGGAATGACTTGCCTTCTGAATGTGTTTGAGAGCATCAGTTGTGTTGTGCAGAGGTAGGGTTAGTGCACAGTGGAAAGCCCTATTTGACTACTGTTGTAATCCATATTATGGCAAGAACCACTCAACTCAGTGAAGAGAAACGACCGTCCATCATCACTTTAAGAAATGAAGGCCAGTCGATCCGGAAAATGTCAAGAACTTTCAATTTATCCTCAAGTGCAGTCGCAAAAACCATCGAACGCTATGATGAAACTGGCTCTCATGAGGACCCCCCCGGGAAAGGAAGTCTTGGACATTAAAAAGTGGAAATCTGTACTTTGGTCTGATGAGTCCAAATTTGAGATTTTTGGTTCCAACCTCCGTGTCTTTGTGAGACGCAGAGAAGGTGAGCGGATGGTTTCTGCATGTGTGGTTCCCACCCTGAAGCATGGAGGAGGAAGTGTGATGGTGTGGGGGGGCTTTTCTGGTGACACTGTTGGTGATTTATTCAGAATTCAAGGCACACTTAACCAGCATGGTTACCATAGCATTCTGCAGTAGCCAGCTAAATATAAATCATATTCTGGAGCTCCTCTGCCTGCAAATGTATTTTAATTATTTTTTTTTTAATTTCATTTCATTGTGCCTTGATAGCCTACTTCAATGACTGTAATTCCACATTGTTGGTAAAATAATATTTTACATCTTTGTACTGTGTCACACAGTACAAAGATGCACTGTGTGTGTGCTCGCGCTTTTGTGCGTGCTCTATAGTGCACTGGAGTCCGTTGTTATGCCACTGTGTGTGTGCGTGGTTTTGCTCGGTGCGCCCCCCCGTGCGTAATTAGCACATCGGACAGCACCTCAGCACCCCCACTCAAAATACCTTCCTGCACCTCTGCTTGCATTTCAAACACACGTTTATAGACCTGTGATGTTTTCTCCTTGTGTGACGTGTGGCCTTCAGGGCCCACTACCCAGGCACCACCACAGTGAAGGAGGCCCTGCAGACCCAGAAGAAGCTTTGGTCCTCGGAGGACTACAGCTCAGTGAATGACGAGGTGGGGGGGGGCTGCTGGGCCCGCATCCTCAACCAGAACTACGTCAATGGATTCATGACAGCGTGAGTGAATACACCAGCTTCACTTTGTGCTTCGTTATCAGCCTCAAAATGTTCTTCCACTGTACAGAATTTAATTTGACCTTCTCTTTGTCTCATTCTATTCTACATACGGTTAGTTTACTTACTCCTGCATTGAAACTTGCACCATTGCGTCAATTGCACTATTCTCTTCGACTATTTTATGTCTTTTTTTTATTCTATTGTTTTGTATTTTGCATTGTTGGAGGAGTGTGGGACTTTAATTAATGTAGATGTACATTGCCAACCACCACACTGTACATATTGTGCACATGACATTAAAGCTTTTGAACCTGAAAGTTACATCTTAAATATTAGCATGAGGAGTTTCTCATTACTCTATTTCCACCCATTGTTAATAAACTAGAATGTTTACTACCTAGTTCATCAGTTAATTTTAAGCAAACATAATAGAAAATATTTGTATTAAGATGTAAAAGGGATTTTAAAGATCAGACACCTTGGTGAGGTTGGGACAGACAGCGTTGTCCAGCTGTGTGTTGACAACTGTCTCCTTCAGCACCATCTCCTGGAACCTGGTGTCCAGCTACTACGAGGATCTACCGTTCGCCCGGGACGGGCTGATGACGGCCGAGGAGCCGTGGAGCGGGCACTACGAGGTGGCCCCCCCCATCTGGATCACAGGTACAACACATGGATTCACAAAAGGCGCGTTCACACCAAGTACTTTTCCCACAATAGTTCATGAGAACTTTAGTTCATGAGAGCTCTTTTAGTTCTGATGAACTAAAGCAGATCGCGTTCACACCAAAATGAGTTCCTGGGGGTGGATTAGGCAAATGAACCGCTGACGTCACTTCTTCTTCTTCTGCTTTGGGTTTACTGGCAGGCCGCAAACAACTTCACGGCGAGTACAGTAGGTGGCGGTATGCACCTTAAAGTTGCAATCCGCCAAAAAACCGAGAGAAAAAGAAGAAGAAAAACCTCCCGCGTATACTGCCACGCCCACCTGCTGTATATGGCGTCTGTTTACCTTCCGACCTCAGACATGAGCTTCGTCTGAGTTATTTAAGCAAACACAAATACAGATCGTCGACCAGTCAAATGCAATAGCAATGCTGATTCGGAAGCAAAGGCGGTTAAGAAGGATTGACAAAAGGATTGGACGACGACATGCACGCGCTACGCTACGTGTGAAATGAATACACTGTGCCAGGTGTGTCGTATGCACACTAAATAGGCTCAGCAGTTAAAGGTGGGGTAGGTAAGTTTGAGAAACCGGCTCGAGATACACTTGTTATATTCCATGGAATGCTCTTAACATCCCGATAGCAATGAATATCTTAAGTGCTTTGACAAAAAATCCATAAAAAAATGTCATCTGTGGAAGCTGTAGTACTGTAAAAAGCACGACCAATCATTTTAGCCGGCCCGGCTAAAATAACTGGATGGCCTACCTGCCTGTCAGCCTTCCATCTGTGCACAAACTTATCTCGTGCCCTCATTGGTCATGTGCGCGTTCGTGTGTGTTGGAGGAGGGGCTCTGTAAGGAAGTGGCAGATTTTTTCCGGTTGTGTATTTTCAAATTCTAGCACACTTGAGCTGGTTTCTCCAAAATTACCTACCCCACCTTCAACACACCTTTATTATATATCCTCCTGAGAGCAACTGCATCCGTCTGCCATGAACCCTACAGAAACCTACGTGTTAGTTGTGGCCCATAGTGGCCTCCATTTGTGTCGTGTAAAATGGGGGAAATCAAAAGTTAGCAAATCCCCATGTCATGTTCATAAAAACATTTAGTTTTAGGTCATATAATTATTACACTGCTCTGAAACTCACTACACTAACTCCTAAGATGTTCCCTTACTATAATTAATTAAAAATATTGAACTCACAACACTGGTAATAACAAACTTAACCATTTCTCTTTCTATAAATAAATAGTGCTTGTGTTGGATGCCATTTTGAAATACAATGAAATTATCTTTTTGAAAGCCACAATAAATAAAGCTTCGCCAGTTTATAACCGATGAAACATGATGGTATCAGAATAATCACTTACATGTTATGTATAGGATGCTACACAGGTCACTGTAAAGATAAAGTGTCAGAGGAGAAATAAGCAAGCTTAGTTACATGAAATGTAATGAAAAATGTAAGATACAGGCTCTGTTTAATCGCCATGTAGGTTCTCTTTTATTGCACACTCAAGACAATATCAATAACAGCATCACGCTGTCCCAGGTGTGTCGTATGCATGTAAATAGAAGTTAACATTTTCAATATCAAATAAAGTGTCAGTTGTATCAAAACATATATATATATATATAATAACAATAGATAGGCTCAGCAGCAGACACACCTTAGTGCAAAGTGAAGTGTCAGTATTAATAACAGTGGCATATATATAATCACAATAATACAAAATGAACTGTCCCAGGTGTAGGCAATTTGGGGTGAAGTGTCTTGCCCAGGGACACAACGACATGCTGACTGCAGTGGGGTTTGAACCTGTACCACTTCACCACACGCCTCCCAACAAGTCATTGTACAGTTTATCAACGACGACAAGTTTTTCTTAATTTTTTTATTGAAGGCCTGTTGGATTTAATCAGCTCGCTTAGCACTGCCAGAAGCCCAGCCTGAAAGGTATTTTGTTGCTCCACCTGGCGCGCCGACACCTCCACCTGGCGCGCCGCCGAGTCAGCATGGCGCGGCATCACCATGAGCAGCTGGTCGTCCTATTCCTGGGCCTTGTGTGAATGCAGCAGCCGTTCGTCGTGCATCTCCTTGGCACGCAGGTCCTCATTCTCCTTGTTGACCATGGCACGGCAGTCCATCGCCATGATGGTGTCAAGGAAGCTGTCATCCCGTGCCCGCTTTCCTAAGGAGAAATAAGCAAGATACAAGATCAGTTTAATCGCCTAGTAGGTGGTCAACAGAGACAACATTGGACATGGTGCAGACAGGGACAGTGTACAAAATGCAGGTGTAAAGTAGAAGATAAGATAGCATCAAATAGCTGACGCTCAAAGTGCCCTTATTTATTGTTTTATATTTTTTTAGAGTGCTTAATGTACGCTTGAACTTTGTCCAAAAATGATACGTTTTCTTACCGGAAGTCATGTGACCTCTAGCTTGTTTATGAGAGAGTGAAAAGGGCGCTAAAAGTGTAAACGATGTATTTTCACGGTGTTTCATAATTGTACCAAGAAGGAAATAAACGTGATTAGTGGACATCAGTTCGATGCGTAACGTTCTTTCAAGACCAGAGTAGTTACAGTGTGTTTGTACGTACTTTTGCGTTTGGGTGGTTGAAAAGGAGACGAGAAAGTGCTGCTGTTGTGATCCGGAGGGGAAAGCTCACATGTTTCCAATCCAGAGAGTTGTCCTGCCTCGCCTGAAACACACGATTAGTGCCATGAGTTAGTGAAGCAAATTACAGAAAACATTACACACTTATTCACAAGTCAAAAACGTTTTCATAGCGGCCGAGAATGATGTTATTAGCCATGCTAGGCTGAACTGGCTAGCAGTGTTAGCCAGTTCTGGCTAGCATGGCTAGCTCGATCTACTGAGCAAATAAAAGTACATCTCAGACCAGTATTGTGCAGATTAAAACAGTGCAGTGCATGTAGTTTATTTTACCTTCGTAGTAGTCGTCGTTGGACAATTCACAGGCCACTGAATCCGCCTTTTCACCACAAGTGCCGGGGAATGAGGGTCTGTGGCCGAGCAGAGCATCCAATCGATCATACCATTTACGGGTCTTCCGGCCGTTACCACTCTTGTTATTATGGTCTTTTATTTGTTTGTAGTCCTGCTTTAGTTTCTATATTTTGTCCCGGCATGAGTGTGCGCTGTGGAAGATTCCCATGTCGGCTAACTTTACCGAACAACGCTGATACATTTTGCAGTTGGAAACTGCCTTCAGTAGAAGCTGCTGGATCCCATCCTCCGAGTAAATCGCCAGACGTGCCGACACATCCTCATCACTCCACCGCTCCGATGATTTTCGTATTCTTATTGTTGCCATAATAACTGCTTTCACAAAAGTACTCTCGTTGGTGCGCTGGGCTAATAATGCCAGCAAATACAATGAGTTAAACGGGGCGTGGTTTGCATTCCGCACAGCCAATCAGACGTGTGAACTTTTTTCTCCCACGAAAGTCCCTGCTCTCTAGCAGGGACTGAAAACGGGGTGAAAATGGTTCTGATGAACTAATTTAGTTCCTGGGGCTTTTTGGTGTGAATGCAAATATATGGTGTGAACGCGCTAAAAGTTACAATTAGACAAATCTTTGTTGCTTCCACCATGGAGGTGATGTTTTCAGCTGGGTCTGTCTGTCAGCATGATGGCAGTAAAACCACTGGCTGATTTGAAATGAAACTTAGTAGGAGGGTGTAGCATGGGCCACGTACAAACCCAGACAATTTGATGGGCAAATACACACATCATTGTTTCTGCTCCAAAATGTTATTGCTTCTTTCTTGGCCCCATTCTACACCCGTCCACCAAGTTTAATGAATAGAGTGGTGCAGTGATGATGTATTTTTGTCGGATTTTTCAATGTGATTTTAGAATATTGCATAAAATAATCTCTTTGGCAAACAGACATTTCTGATACTTTCACGATTTGTTCAGCAGGATAGTCTCCTCATATTAACAGTACTTTATGATATTAAAGCGCAAATACAGTCTCTAGAAGTAAAAAGCTAACATTAGGCCATAATCAAACAACATCAAGGTCACATGACTTGACGTCACTACCGCTGAGCTAAATGCGGCTAATGTTTGGTTTGATGATGTTTAGTTGTCTTATTTAGTCTCCTGTTAGTAACAGCTGTTTTTATGACACATGGTTGCCTCACCAGTGGTGTATTTACTGACATGTTTTATGTCCTTAAACACATTTAAAAAAATCTCTTTAGCTTGTGTTACCACAATATTTATTTCAGGCATCTAACCAAAAGCACATTCAGAAAACTGTCGACTTCGAAACGGGAAGACAGAAGTGTTAAAATGCTGACTCATTTCCAGGTATTAGGACTCATTCCTGCCCTACTCTTTGCTGCGGCCGTAGTTACTGCTGACCAACTGAACCTAAAGCATAACTTCTTTGGTGGAAGTCATATAGGTTATTTTTAAATTCTTTAACTGAAACAATTTAATAATTAAATCAAATCAAATCAGGTTTTATTTATATAGCACATTTTAAAAACGATTTTTGGTCGAGCCAAAGTGCTGTACATGCAAATAAAAAACACATTACTGCGATCTCAAACAGAAGACAATAAATTACAACAGCAAATATAAAAATCACATACAGGCTCCGCTCTGACTAGAAGGCCAGAGAGAAGAAGTGAGTCTTAAGTGTATATTTAAAAACCCCTAGAGTCTGGGCTGACCTCACATGGAGGGGCAGAGTGTTCCAGAGCCTAGGGCCAGCTGCTGCGAATGCTCGGTGCCCTCGGGTTTTAAGCCTGGTCTTGGGCACTATCAGCAGCAGCTGGTCAGCAGACCTTAAGGCTCTGGCTGGGGTGTAGCGATGGAGGAGTTCGGCTATATCGGCCGGAGCCAGCCCATTTAGTGCTTTAAAAACAAATAAAAGGAGTTTAAAATCAATTCGGAACCGAATTGGAAGCCAGTGCAATGAGGCCAGAATTGGGGTGATGTGGTGACGCTTTTTGTGGCAGTGAGAAGACGCGCAGCTGCATTCTGCACTAGCTGCAGGCGTCTAATTGACGCCTGGTCCATACCCACGTATAGAGCGTTGCAAATGAAATGTTGAAACAGTTTGCTTTTCTCTCCAGCCCACACCACACAGTTCACCCAGCCGGGGTGGAGCTACCTGCAGACTGTGGGACACCTGGCACAGGGCGGGACTTATGTAGCCCTGACGGACGGGAAGGGAAGCCTCACTGTTGTCATAGAAACCATGGCAAGTTAGGCTGACCTTTTTTAACTTTTAAATTCTGTAATTTCACATAGTCATTTTAAATGATGTAATTCAATTCTCTAGGGAGTAGCTGTGCACAATATCTAAACACCAGAGCTACAGCATTAGGCTCAGCTTTACTGTGATGACTCAGCTTCTATTGGATTATTATTTCTAGTTTTAAAGAGGATTTCTTCGGGGAGTTTCCTGCCTTCAATGATGACATGAAGTTAGAAAGGAAAGGAAAATAAATGTTGTATTTCCTTTACAGACTCATGATCATTCAGTATGCATTAGACCTCCACTCCCCCCCTTCAATGTGACCTCCCAGAATGCAACTTTCCAGCTGAAGGGATCCTTTGTAAGTTCCGCTGAGATCTTCACCACACTGTTACAATCATGTTACAATGCTTTTGTTTTATCCTCAATGATTTATTTCCTGCAGGCCTCCATTAAGGAACTCCAAGTATGGCGGTCTCAGTTTAATTTCAAAACGAAAAAGCCCTCCTTCTTCCAGAAACTAACTCCTCTGACGGTAACGAGGCACATTAAAAAGATCTTCCTACCAGATGTATCGTCACCGAGCAACAGCTCTAACACAGATTTATATTTTTGTGTGTATCTTATAATTTCAGCTTGTGGACGGTTTGTTCACCTTGAGCGTGGCTGAAGATGAGGTTTACACTTTAACCACAGTGACCTCAGGACAGAAAGGCAGTTACCCCGGCTCCCCCCCCTCTGCTCGCTTTCCCAAACAATACAAGGACAACTTTGATGTTCGTGAGTACGACACATACACCACCCAACCTGAGTGTGAGGTAGAGGGAAAAGGTTGATCATTGTGAAAATACAGGCATAAACCAGTCATGTCAAAATGTGACTACAGTAAGGTATCCAAGGTTATGGGTTGAGGGATATTAAACACTCCTTTCAACCTCGACAAACCAGATCCACTGTGATATTCTTACCTTTCACAATAAAAGCCCCAGACATATACACTGGTTAAATGTTTACCCAGAGCATTATGCTGAGAGGGACTTCAACAAATGGAAAATTAAGTATAATCCATTTTCCTGAGTAATGAACTGGCATCAATTTTCTTTTTTCAGAAAATTATACATTTAAAAAAAATGAAGACCTTTTTATGAACACTTTTTGTAATTCTTGTATTTCTTCATGTATTCTGTCCTGATATCTTCCATTAATAGAAAAACCTTCTCGATCTCTGTGTGCGGCCTCTTCTAGGAAACCCCCCCTTCTCTGAGGCTCCAAACTTTGCCGACCAGACGGGGGTGTTTGAGTACTACCTCAACCTGACGGACCCCGGGGCTCACAGCTTCACTTTGCGCCAGGTTCTGACTGAGAGACCCATCACGTGGGTCGCTGACGCTGACCAGACCATCAGCGTCATCGGAGACCACCAGTGGTGAGGGGTGCTACCTTCAAGTACCTCAACGTGTTCATGTGCTAACTTGACTGTGTAAAATCCAGGTTTGTGTCCAACATTAAACCGCTCTTGTGTTCCAGGCAGAACGTGACGGTCAGCTGTGATGTGTTCATGGAGAGCGTGAAGACCGGGGGAGTGTTCATAGCAGCGCGGGTGGATAAAGGAGGGCAGTGCGTCCGCAGCGCTCGGGGGGTCTTCTTCTGGGTGTTTGCAGACGGCACATACAAAGTGACCAATGATCTCGGTCAGTAGCATCACCCTCCACTTCCTTACACATTTAATTATGGACACCAACAATTCTGACTTTTTTTCCCTCCGAATTCTGGGATTAAAGTCAGAATTCTGACTTTTTACTTAAATCTCCAAAATCTTGGAAAAAAGTCAGAATTCTGAGATTAAAGAAAACTATGGAGCTAATTTCCTGCCATAACTCCACAAACAAACTAAACAGGTTTTACAAATGCCTTATGATTCACTAACAAACACAATGTGGTTTGCAAATACAAAACACCATCTACAAACTAATGAATTTAGTTTTGCAAAGAAAAAACGTATCTATCAAACAAACACATAACATTATTCTAATAAATCATGTTTCAGAGACAAATTCAGCTTAGGTTTTACAAGTACAAAACTTTTTTTTACAAGTACACAAATTTGTTTTACAACTACAACACTTTGTTTTACAAGTACAAAACTTTTTTTTACAAGTACAAAACTTTTTCTTCTCACGGCGGAATATTACTGCCAAAAGTCACGTGAGTGGAATATTACTGCCAAAAGTCACGTGACTGAGTCACGTGACTTTTGGCAGTAATATTCCGCCGTGGCTGGCTCATACACAGTCACACATGCTCACTCACACATGCTCCACGGCAGCAGGGGGCGCTACTGAGTCCATTGGGAAGGCGGGAGGTTGAGCAGAGCATGGAACAGCCCTTGTCAGTCTGATGACAGGTGTTTCTCGCGATCCAGCGATCTGGGTCAGTGTTATAGTGATAATATTATAAACAAGGTGAATTTAGCGATCACAACGAAAACAGCCAAGACACTTATTGAGCCCAGAAAATAAATGTTATTAGGGGCTGTAAATATAATAAGCCTTTGTCTAAAATGGACAACATTGTAACTAAAGAGATTTAAACTATATATACAGCCAGGGGACGTTCGGGACGAATCCTGATGGGCCGGTACTGAAGTGGGCCGGTCGGATAAGTCACTGCTCACCCCCCCTTCCCCCCCGTCGACAATTTCCTCGCGGTATTTACTTGCGGCACCACCGAGGTGGGCCGCTTACTTGCGGTACCGAGGTGGGCCGGCGGTACCGAAGTGGGCCGGTCGAGAGTCCCGGGCTGATTTGTTGTCCCAGTCCGCCCCTGTATACAGCGATTCTGCACTCGGTCAATCAGCTGCTTTTCATTTTTATTCCTGCTATATTCAATGAGTGATACAAATATTTTTTACCACAACTTCTTAATAAAACTGACACTGTTGGACTTGGTACTAGTTGACTGCAACCAGAAATAAAATGAAGTACTTTACTGTGTACTTTGTGAGTAATCCTCTGTCAGAGTCCCCTCCATAGTACATAATGCATGTTTTTTGCTATCTTTGATGAATGATAAAAATAAAATGTTACCATTAGTTCTTAATGAAATTGATACGGTTTGACTTTGTATTAGTAAGCCTACTACTAACAATACATTGAAGTACTTTTACTGTGTATTTTTTGAGAAATACTCTGTCAAAGTCCCCTGCTGAGAACAAAATCAAGCCACTTCTGCTAAGTTTGATGAGGGAATTCTTTTTTGTTGCCATTAGTTCTTCGTGAGATTGATCCTGTTGGACTCAGTACTACTGATACTACCCCCACAAGTACTATGAAGTACTTATTGTGTACTTTTCCATTAATCCTCTGTCAATGTCCCCTCCTGAGTACAAGAATGCATGTTTTTCTTTTAATAAGCGTTAAAAAACATTTCTTCCTGAGACTGATATTGTTGGACAGAGTATTTTAAGAGGATGGTAGACATGATATCAGCAATACTTCCAGTCAGTACTCCGGCAGCAGCATTTTCACACCTTGGAAAGTCTTTAGAGTCTGGCCTGGAATGGATAGCTGGTCACAAATATCCTTCAGCAAAGTAACACACTCTGTCACATGGTTGCCCTCTTATGATGCTGCTGTCTTTTAATATATAATTATTCCTCTGCCGCTAGTTCGTTCCTCGCAGATTCTTCAGTCTCATCAGCCTCATCCTTCCATCAGTCCCAGTTAACGCCTCCAGCCCACTTCCAGTATCTGACTCCATATGATATTGTCCTGATGCTGTAAGGGTGATGCCCCATGATCACAAAATGACCCCTCTCGAGTGCCAAGGACCTCATATTATGTCTGTCATTAATGTTACATCACCCATTAAATCACCCAAAAAATATTTTTTTCCCTCATCAAACTTAGAAGAAGTGGCTTGATTTTGTTCTCAGGAGGGGACTTTGACAGAGTATTTCTCAAAAAATACACAGTAAAAGTACTTCAATGTATTGTTAGTAGTAGGCTTACTAATACAAAGTCAAACCGTATCAATTTCATTAAGAACTAATGGTAACATTTTATTTTTGGGTCATTCCAGAATTGGAGGACATTTCATGTCCCCCATATAAAAAATCTAATAATCCATGCCCAAAAAGCTAAGACATGCACTTGTTGTGTTAAATATACTTGTCTTGAGACAAGATGCATATAAAGTTGTAGAAAAAGTGGTTTCAAAATATTATTTAAAATATCAAATAGCTCTCGAACACCCCCTAAAATTGCCCTTTTCTCTTGTCCCAGCTTCTTGGTGACCAACTTGCATGTCAAATATAACATTTAAAATAGGGTTTTTATTTACTTTTTTGGTATTATTCTATTGATATATGTGTCTTGTAATGGTAAAATCAATTTGTTAAATCATAAACACATTTTAAATAACAGTAATTTTGCACAGAAGGTGTGTCCCTCAACATGCGCGCAACCCTGTTACCGAAACCTTTTTAGCTTGGCAGAGGAAGTGAAAAAACTGTTTGTCGCATGACACAGTGGAAAGGACATCAGCAAGCCATGTGCTACTACCATGGGTAGACCAAAACTAAGTCCTCTCTTTTATTTGTAATATATTTCCAATCTTGTCACTCTTGAAGGAGTGTGGCACTCATACAAACGCAACCCTGTTACTCAAATTATGAAACAAAAACAAATTAATTTCAAATGTATCTTTCTTTTGTTAAATATATATAAATATAAATATAATATAAAGTGTGTCCATTCCTTGACAATAGCATTACATTGTGCAGCTAGCATTAATTCCTGAGGTAAAAGCTAAAATTAGCATTGATTTTCAACCCTGTTACTTGCAACCCTGTTACTATAATTAGAGTAACAGGGTTAATTCTTCATTGGAAAATATACATTTGATGCCTTAGCTGGGCAAATCACTTTTTTTTATGGTTTATTATCTGTTTTTCCTAAATACATAACAAAAAATAATCAAATGAAAGGTTCATTTTTCAAAAATGTTGGTGTCTAAATTGTCCTCCAATTCTGGAATGACCCTTTTATCATTCATCAAAGATAGCAAAAAACATGCATTATGTACTATGGAGGGGACTCTGACAGAGGATTACTCACAAAGTACACAGTAAAGTACTTCCTTTTATTTCTGGTAGCAGTCAACTAGTACCGAGTCCAACAGTATCAGTTTTATTCAGAACGTATGGTAAAAAATATTTGTATCACTCATTGAATATAGCAGGAAAGAAAATGAAGAGCAGCTGATTGACCGAGTGCAGAATCGCTGTATAGTTTAAATCTCCTTAGTTACAATGTTGTCTATTTTAGACAAAGGCTTATTATATTTACAGCCCTAAGAACATTCATTTTCTGGGCTCAATATGTGTCTTGGCTGTTTTCGTTGTGATCGCTAAATTCAGATGCTGGATCGCTAGAAACACCGCTGTCATGATCAGGCTGGCAAGAGCTGTTCCATGCTCTGCTCAACCTCCCGCCTTCCCAATGGACTCAGTAGTGCCCCCTGCTGCCGTGGAGCATGTGTGAGTGAGCATGTGTGAGTGTGTATGAGCACAACCACGGCGGAATATTACTGCCAAAAGTCACGTGACTCAGTCACGTGACTTTTGGCAGTAATATTCCAGTCACGTGACTTTTGGCAGTAATATTCCGCCGTGAGAAGAAAAAGTTTTGTACTTGTAAAAAAAAGTTTTGTAGTTGTAAAACAAAGTGTTGTAGTTGTAAAACAAATTTGTGCACTTGTAAAAAAAAGTTGTGTACTTGTAAAACCTAAGCTGAATTTGTCTCTGAAACATGATTTATTAGAAAAATGTTATGTGTTTGTTTGATAGATACGTTTTTTCTTTGCAAAACTAAATTCATTAGTTTGTAGATGGTGTTTTGTATTTGCAAACCACATTGTGTTTGTTAGTGAATCATAAGGCATTTGTAAAACCTGTTTAGTTTGTTTGTGGAGTTATGGCAGGAAATTAGCTCCATAGAAAACAGTCAGAACTCACTTTTTTATTTTACTTTTGGTCACATCCCAAAAATGTTTCTCATGTGGCCCTTATCCTCTTCCATAGTTCTATGACTTATTTGAAGACATTTGATTATAAGTAAAGTTAAGCGATATATATATATTTTTTATTGTCGTCAATTTTCAGTGGCGCATTAATGGTCTAAAGATCTCTTTTAAGAGCCAGCCTCACGTGACCAGTCAAGAAACAGCTGAGGTTGCTGCTTGAATGTTTGAGTCTTTGGAAGGATTTCAGAGCTTTCATTTCAATTTAAGAATATCGACAGTCCTTTTGTTTTGTCTTTATTTTTATAGCAGCGTTGTCCTAGTGCCTGTCCTAGCTTTAACATTGCTAACAGTCACTGTAAGTGATAGCAGAATTCTTCTCATTCTTTGTTTGGTTCTTCTTCATTCACCTTGAAAATAAAGTAGTACTTCTAGAATTGTCCTTTGAAAGAAAATGGAAATAAAATAAGTAATCTCCAAACAGGTTTAAAGGAACATACTTTTGAAAATGTTGTTCCAGCCGACCTTGTTGAGGATCAAACCGGTGTCATGGCTTCTTATTGTTTGTTTTTCTCTTCCTGTCCCCAGCTGGACAAACTGTCCTGGCAGAGGGACAGTCTGGGACCCGGGCGTACGGCTGGCACACCTTAACTCTCACTGTGGAGGTACGTGGAGTTCCTTAATGTTTGAAAAGTGTTTTTGTCCTTTTCAAAACTTCAGGTTCCCTCATTTGTACTCGTAGGTGGAGTTGGTTTGCAATTAAAAGACACTATCCATTATGATACACATTTTAAAAACCACACAAACAACCGGCAAATATATAAAAAAAAGTACCCCATGCTTCCGCACATTTAAAAACCAATAGAACAATCATGAACAATCAAATACATAAATGAAGATGAAGAGCAGAAAGGATATGAGCCTGACTGAAGGGGTTTGAGTGTTCATACAGACTTTGAGATTAGCTGTACACCTACTAGTGTTTTCTTTAAATCAATATTTAAGTTTATATAGAGAGCTGGTAACTGTGATTTATTGAGCAGGTTACATTTTTAGTTTCATTTCTTAAAAAACTAAAATCTTTTATGGAGGAAGCTGTGTTTTTAATTTTGTGAAGCACTTTGAATTGCACTGTTTTGAAAGGAGTATAAATACCTTGCTTTGCCTTGCTCTACAGAGATTGAGAGAGGTTTTTCTGGCTGCTCGGCTCTGTAGGAATTGAATTGACCAGAGGCCTGTACTACGAAGCTGGTTCAACCTAACCTGGATATGTTTGAGTTAGCCGGTTGGCCTAATCCAAAACATACGCGCTCTCGCTAAACTACTACGACGCTGGTTATCAAGTGGATCGCTCAAGCCAGCCGTGTCCTATCTAGTTAGGTGCGCGTTCACATGAAAGGGGTGGTATTTGGAGCATTCGACCAATCACAAACATGGACAAGCGTACTGACAGCGCAGCGTCATACTTCCTGAATGAAAAGTGAACTTTAATATTAGTCAAATATGAAGAAGTTAAACTTTAAACATCCATGACTTAAACACTTTATCCAGGATAAAAGCCACATAGCTGCAGCTGCAAGGTGAATACAGCTGGTAACAGAAAAAGCGTTTGAATGCGTACATCAGGGGTCGGCAACCCCTGGCACGCGTGCCACCAATGGCACGCGGCACCGTAACCAGTGGCACACTAGGAATAAATGGAATAAGTGTGCAAAAATATTTAAATTTTATTTTTGGATCCTGAACGAGACCGCCGCCAGAGCGCGTCTCCCCGTTACCTGCAGAAGGAAGCCATGCACGCAACGCAGCCCTACTCTCTTTAACTCCAGGCGACTTTCTGCCGCTTTCCTCCGTAATGCAGTGCTGATAGTTTCATCACAGAGGAAAGCACTTCACAAATTGCAGTACCCATAAGGGTAAAAATGCCGCAGTTTTTGCGTGGCGATCGATATCGGCCGATACTCACTCTCTGCCGATCGATCGGTGCTCTCTAAAAATGCCGATCGCGAGACGTAAAATACATGACACTTTTCTCTGTGTGCGGCAAAACAAGCTCGCCAAAATGGCTTCACCAGTCTGGCAGTATTTTAAGGTGTCCGAAAATGACAATAAAATAGCGGTGCAACGTGTGTGAAGCAGAAATCCTGCAGCTCCACCCGCTGTGACGGACCTGTGAGCGGAGCAGAACACACAAGAGTTAGACCTAACACACTTAGCTATTTGATCTACCTTTGGAACTAGTTATACATATATTTATTCTTCACTGTCACTCATTACTGGATCAGTGAGCTGCATGAGATACTGACAGGCTGTCAGGAGAGAGAGAGAGGGGGAGAGAGGAAAAGAGAGCGCTTCAGCTCATTTCTCCCGTGTTATTATCCAAAGTTAATGTAAACTTGAATAATGTACTTCATTTGAATGTAACAATTATGTTGGTTGTTGTTTGTGGAAGCGCCAGTGAATGAGCCCCATTAGCTGAGTTTTAAACATCACTTTAAATGGAAGATCCCCATAGGCCCCGCCCACTCGATCGGATCGGCGATCGGAGCATCCCTAATGTAAGTTGCACTGACAGGTCCACACACTGCTTCCCCGCAGCGAGGCTCCCCCGCCCTCCTGTTGACAGTTCACGAGCGTCGAGCTCTTAACCCCCCTCCCCCCCGTTGATAATTCACGATCGTCGGCACGCTGATAACATCTTTTTTTTTTTTTAATGGCTCTTCATATCAAAAAGGTTGCCGACCCCTGGCGTACATTAACAGGTTTATGAAATCACTGCCAAGACACGAGTGGATCTGACTTTAATTACATTTGACTCGAGTGTTTCGTCAACTTAATGTGTTGCTTAAAATAATACTTCTGCATACAGTATGTGACACTGTGAGTGTTGCACGGCCAGATACGGCTCAAGAAGCTGACTCAGATAAGGAAATATATGATACATTATGATGTGATATGATATGAATGATAATGGCACACATCTACGTCTGCACTCACAGTGCCGCGGACTGTACTTAATGTTACTTTGATCCGGTTACTTATGTCGTGGCAGATATTTAAGTAAGCTTTCTTAACGCTAATGTTATAATAGTCAGATTGCTCTGAAGATGGGAGGGGATATTCTATTAATTTTCACGTTCACACAGTCAGTTGATTTTTGCCGGCCGTCTTTCCTGCAACGGCAGTTTTTCTGTATTTCCTCTATCCTGTAATATGACTTGATCGCTTTAAACTCCGCACACGGAGCTCTGATTGGTCAGCAGGCGGTGCTTTCACTGAGTTGATCTCTTAGCCTGCAACCTAACCTCCTCCCGAGGAGGTTAGCCGCTCAGCATAAGTTACCATGGAGATCTAGCCTGCTAAAAAGAGAACCAGCGTCGTAGGACCGGAAAGCCCGAGTTTTCCCTGAAGTTAGCCGGCTAAGCGAAAATCCGGCTTCGTAGTACAGGCCTCTGGAGTGAACATTTGTAATGTTGATTTTAATGTCATCACATGCTTACTGAACTCTGATTTTGTTTACGTCACATCCATGTGACTGTCCATCAGGATGAGTAGGCAGAAGTCTAAAGAGATGGTCATAATGTATGATTAGTGTATGTAATATAGCCTCTCCTTGTGTTATCCTCTGCAGGGTCAGCATGCGTCAGGTCTGCTGAATGGTTACCCTCTGTGGAAGAATGCTGTGGTGCTGGCCCCCCCCAACGGCTGGGCGGCTTTAGGAACACACTCCTTTGAACTGGCTCAGTTTGATAACTTTGCTGTGCTGGCAGAGTGAGGATTTAACAGTGGAACAATGATCTGCACAATGCTTTGAAAGTGTGATGAATGCCTTTATTAACACTTCATTGTGCTTAATATATACTTGACTTTTCTTCCTTTTTTAAAATGTTTTTAAAATGTTTTTAAAATGTTTAATCTGAAATAATTGTAAATAATTTACACTGATTTTTATTATAATGGAATAAATTATTTTTAAATGTTTACATTTTTGTTTTATTGTAATGTTTTTACATTTAAAGCTGCAACATATCAACCTGTGGTCCGGTCCTCTGCATTCAGACTGAATATGAAGCCTATGGTGAAGTTTGACTTGAGGCATGTTCGGTGCATGTTGTACGGAAGAGTATTAGGGCCTCATGAGAAAAATGTGTTGGGATGTGACCAAAAGTAACAAAAAAAAAAGTGGGTTTTGACCAAATTATTTATTTTACTTTTGGTCACATCCCAAAAATAAATTCTGATGTGGCCCTAATCCTCTTTCGTAATCTTTGGATGTAAAGTCTAAAGCGTGATTATGAAACTGGCTTATTTATTTTTTTAATATGTGCATTGCTAATACATTGAGGCTACATGGTGTCTCGCTTAGTTTATCCACCTCTACCACCAAGTCCATATAAAGACCTGGCAGAAACAGATTTTTGAATGTCTACTTTGCTCCAAACCTTTGGTGTGGTTTGTTCTATCGCCGCACACGTATCACTTCCCCAGTCTGTTGTGCAAATAACTATAAACAATGTTTTCATATACAGACCATCATGTTGCACCGTAATCATCTGTTGCGTTGTCATCCTCACTGAAAAGCAGTAGTGGATGATAACTAAGGACATTTACTCAAGTGCTCTACTTGACTACATTTTTTAGGTAGATGTACATTTACTTGAGTATTTTCATTTCATATTGCTGTACTTCTCTACTACATTAAGCATCAGATACTATACTTTTTACTCACTACATGTATTTGACCACATGAATTAACAGTTACATTTGCAGGTTTATATCATTAATACAAAAATGTAATCTACTAATACACTATGATGTACTGTTATGGATGGAGATACCTGGCAGTACAACAAGTTATTGATGTTTTCTTATCATTTACCAGCTTAGAAATTATAATGATAGACACATGAATGCATCACTAATTATAAACAACTTATATAATATATGTTATTTCGAAAGAAATTGCCATTTTGGATGAATAATGTTTGATTTGGTAGTTAAAGGTACAGTAGGGTAGGTAAGAATGGAGAAACCAGCTGCGCTCGAATTTGAAAGTACACAACCGGAAAAAATCTGCCCCTTCCTTCAGACTTCCTTACAGAGCCCCTCCTCCAACACACACGAACACACACATGACCAATGAGGGCATGAGATAAGTTTGTGCACGAGATGGAAGGCTGACAGGCAGGTAGGCCATCCAGTTATTTTAGCCGGGCCGGCTCAGATGATTGGTCGTGCTTTTTACAGCGCCACGGCTTCCACAGATGACTTTTTTTTAATGTATTTATTGTCAAAGCATTTCATGTATTCATTGCTATCGGGATGTTAAGAGCATTCCATGGAATATAACAAAAAGTGTTTCTGTGTGAATTACCTACCCCACCTTTAAGTAGGCCTACATGTAGCTGTACTTTTACTCAAGTAACATGTTCAATGCAAGACAGGTAGCCTACTTAACAGAGTATTTCTACAGTGCGGTATTATTACTTTACTTAAGTATAAGATCTAAGTACTTCTTCCCTCTCTGCTGACAAGTAAGAGGCAGTAGCTTTTGTATTCTACAAATCGATATTAAAGTTTGTCTTTCATGATGTGTTCAAACCATAGACTGGTTCAAACTAACGCCAAGTGTTGGGACGCTCTGATTTTATTGTAGAGCGTGACGACATTAGATAAACGAACGCACCCCCTGGCGCGTGAGGGCAATCTCCATGGCAACTGGACAGCAACAGTACTTGCTAACAGCTGCCGTCTAACGACAGAGCGGAGGATGGAGAAAGTGACACCTAAAAGAGTTTTTATCAACAACATAGACTCTTACGCTTCCAAATGTGTTGCCAAGGTAAATATATTTCATCGTGGAACATCTTAAATAAGTGAGTATAGTTTGTAGCTAGTGTTAATGTGAGTTACTGTGAAGCAACAGGGTGAATTCATGGAGGAACGTTAGCACGCTGATGAGCTTATCTTCGCTCAACAACATGAACAGACTAACATCAGTCAGAGAACTCATCTTCTGATATTATTACACTGTCAGTCCTGCACAACCCTTCGAATGTTGCACATTGTACACAAAGCTACTATTTTTAATAAATAAATAATAATAAAGGGTTATTTATATAGCACTTTCCATACCGCAGGTGCAGCTCAAAGTGCTTTAACAGCATGGCTCACATTACAGTTTCAAACAGAGAACGAGGAATTCCCTTCAGATCAGATGTAAGAGCTTTTTTTAAACATGCAGCATAGCAATATAATATAACATTTATAACAGATATGAGACACAAGAAAGTCAAAGGTATGGTAATACAAATATAATAAAATAAATAATGATCCCTATCAGAAAAATAAAGGAAGACATTCAAAATGAATATTTAAAAACCTATAAAATGAAAAAAATTATATAATAATAATAATAATAATAATAATAAAGACTTAAAAATAATTAAGTCAAGATTAAAAGACCAACTTAAAGATTAAAATTGTAAGTCAATATCAAGTTGTGTGTGGATACCTGCCTGGCTTTCCACCTTTCACACCAATACTGCACATATTTTATTTTGATCTATTTCATTTTTACAAGTATTTTGTTATATGATACTGTATGTTGCTTTTTAATATATCTATAGTTCATGTACATATTGCTCTATTTTTAATGTTATATCTTAATAATTATTAATAGTTGTATTTGTTGTCCTTTTCCTTACAACTGATCTGCTCTGACTGTGTTATGTATGCGCCACATTTCTTGTACGTGTTAACCTACTAACTAACTAATAAACCTGGAGCAGTTTCTGTGTGAGTGTGTGGTGGGAGCAGCTGTGGATCCTGATGCAGTGACTGAGGAAGAGGAGGAGAGGAAACCCCACAGCGGGGCGCCAGCGTTTCAGGTTGTTGGGACAGTTTCTGACATGTGTGACGAGGACAGACCTCATGTCCTGGAGGAGTATAAGGTTAGTACCTGAACAGACATCAGTAACTAACAGAGGGTCAATGTCTTACATCTCTCTCCCATGTCTTGTTTGCACGCCAGCACCTGAACAGGGAGGAGCTGCTTTCAAAGCTGATGGACTGTGACGTTGTCATCTACAACATTACCCAGCATGCCGAGCAGCTGGAGGAGGCCTGCTGGGCTGCTTCAGGTACGGTCAGTCTCTGAGGCGTAGTAATCATTGAGACTTCTCCTAAGACTGTTCACGCTGCTCCGCTGTATGTGTATAGCTAAATGAACACAGTGTTAAGGTTATGCTAGGTTTTCTGTTTCATTTTATATTAAAATGTCATATAAAATGTTCTGTAATGATTCATTAAGGTACTATTCCTTTCTGAGTGTACTATTGAGTTGACTTTAGATTTGTAGCATTTAGTTTGCTACTTGCTATAGGCTGCTTTAAAGACAACTTATGAAGCCTATACCTTTACAATATCATGGAAACCAGTACACACTGCAGGAATAGTGCCCATTACTCTTGTTTGTATAGGCTAATAGTCAAATCAATCTTGTTTATTTGAACAGTATAACAGATTGTCTGCAGCCTACACCTGAGCAGAACCTTAAAAGGGTTTATATATAATAATGACATATACTAATGACAGATGAATGAATGAGGTAATCTTCCTGTATTATATCTTTAGCACTCCACAATGAAATGGAACGTTTTTCTAGAGCGAAGATGTTCATCCTGGTCTCCACGGTGATGACCTGGGCCTGCAGCAAGCCAGTGGATCCTGTGAGTGAACACATGCGTCTCCTCTTGCCTAACATGTCTTCTGTCTTCTTATTTGTACTCCACATTACCTGGCCTTAGGGCTGGAATGCATGCATGCATTCATACGTTTCATTTGATTGTAATTCTGTTGAATAGAAATGTGTAATTATCTCCAGTTCCATCATATGTAGAAACAAATCAACTGCCCATCACAAACAACTTGTTTTTAAGCTTACACTGATAGAGTGTGTGACAGAGAAAAACACAATACATAACAGCAAGTGTTGGGCATTTAATAAATACATTTCCAAAAAATACTTCAGTACACTTCAAATAAATGTAAGAGCCATACAGACTTTATACATCTGAGTAGCTGTAATCGGTCATTTGTCCATAAAAACATGTATGTTGATGTTACAGTAACCCACTGAGTTGATTTTCACATGTCCCAGCTCTGTAACTCTTCTCCAGTTGGATGTTCAAGATGTACCAAGCTTCCTGTTGTTGTGTGACAGCTTCCTGTTGTTGTGTGACAGGATGTTCCCTTCACTGATGAGATCTTCTGGAGAAGAAGAGCACATCCCAACTTCAAACAGCACATCGACCTGGAGAAGAGGGTGGTCAAAATGGGAAAAACTGTGAGTTTGAAACTCTTTTATGTTTGTATAGGAGACTCATGTGATGACACGTATAGCTCCGTCACATTGCTGTTGCTTTCAGAACAGAACAATGTTCTCGACGTACGTGGTGGCTTCAGGACTTCAGTACGGGCTGGGAGAGCAGCTCTTCCACTTCTTCTTCAAGGTCAGATCTGTTGTTTAACATTTTTGTATCTACTCGACTCTACGATACAGAGCTGTTTCCATTTACCACTCAAACTCAAAGTGTGAGTTGGAGATGCACAAGTCTGGCCAGGTCCAAATGAGTCTTCCTTGTAAGTACAGTGCTAACTGATGGCTCTTTTCGTCATGAAAAAGTGTGTAAACAAAAGGTTTTGTTGTTAGGATTTGTACATGTTGTCCATTGATGAATAAAAAAGGGACTGTTTGTTTTCTGATGAACCTTCCGAACCTTTCTCAAGGGTCATGGAGTATTTATTGATGCTTAGCCCTGTGTCTAGATTGTAATTGCAGTGTATAAGAGAAAAGAAACTGTGGCTATCTGAAATCATGGCACACTGATCTTGTGATAATAAAATATAAATAATCTTTATCATTAGACGTCGTGGCTGGGACAAGAACAGGAGATACCTGTTTTTGGAGACGGGAGCAACATCGTCCCCACAATTCACATTAGGGACCTGGCGAGGTAGGCATGTTTTTTGAGGTTATAGGTGCACAGAGCCCTGTTTTGTAAAATACTTTGAATGAGTATATGTTGTAAGTGAATTTGATATGATATAAACACTGTGATTTCTTTGTTTTAAAGTGTGATTCAGAATGTGATTGAACATCAGCCCAAGCCGTATTACCTGCTGGCTGTGGACTCGTCCAACAACACCATGGAGGAGATACTGAAGGTGTGTGTAGCAGCTGGTCAAGAAATCCTCTTTCAAAAGTGTCACATGTCCCAGGATTCCAATAACAAACACTTCATTATAAAGCCTGAAAGGAAATGTGCACAAATAAAACAATGTTACCTTTTTAATTACATTTGTGACTCAGTGACGTATACTCACCTATATTTATATAACTGTCTGATGCTTTTTTGGAGGAACAGTTGTAATCATACTGTATGTGGGTTCTTTCTCCCCAGGCAGTTTCCTCTTCACTTGGACCAGGGAGGATCCAGAAGAGGCCGTTTGAGGAAGCCTACCTCACACAGGAACTGAGTGTATGTTGTACCTGGGAGAGTTTGTTTTTACGTTAATGCTAACACTAACATATTCGCCATCATGCTTCAGACGGTTGTGTATTTAATACCAATTCATCTCTAGTTTCTGTTGAAGCAAAGATTCAATGCTGACTTCTTCCCACCTTAAATAAATTGAAACATCTTTTTAAAAATATAAAGAAATCTTAAGCTTCCTGTTTAACATCTGGTTTGCGTATTCTGCACACAAAAGGACATTTATAAATATGACAATTTGTGAATTCTGTATTGGAACTATTTCTTGACACACCACAGCTGTGCAGCTACCTGAAATACCTATCTTTTCTTCACAGTGATATTTGGTTCCATTGTACCTGTACCAAACCAGAACCAGAATCTGTAATCTGGCAACCCGCTCTTTAGCATGAGGTGCCGATCACGATTTATAGGCAGATGGATAACCAAAATAGCTCTAGCCTATAAAACCCAATTAGTTGCTTTTGTATTTCTGTATATGTGCAAATCAAGGTACTAATCTCTAGGTCTGAAAAGTGAAGCCACTGTGAAAGTGCCTTAAACCGGCATTCTCTATAGTGACCAGCAGGGGGCGACTCCACTGGATTCAGAAAAGCTTATGGCATCAATCTTTAGTTTTGAACCAAATGCAGCATGATGTTTATCAGGTGAATTATAATGATCGTCTTTCATTGAAATGTTGCTTCCCCTGCGTTGTTCGTGTGCTCTCCATGCTTTCATCTTATAACTTTAACCCTTTCACAGTGTGATTTCACTCAACAAAAAGTAATTTTAGCAAGGTGGTTGCCTAAAAATGTCTTCACTGCTCGGCTGTTCTCTGCTCATCTCATCCTCTCTTGTCATTTCAGCTTTAAAAAATCCAACGTTGCACCGATTAAAATACCAAACTCACGGATTCAAATCCTTCAAAGAAATCCACCTCTTACCTACAACTTGTGTGTTGGTAGATTTATTTTTGAACTTTGGACAGAGCCAGGTGTTTGTTTCAGCCTTTATGCTAAGCTAAGCTAACCACATCCTGACTGTTCAGTACACACAGACATGAGAATGATATCTTGTAATTCAACCAAGAAAAGTAATAGTGAAAGAGCATATTTACCCAGCTGTGATATGATTCCTTTAAGCTCTGTTGAAATGTGATTTGGTCTTCACAGGTCATGGAAATGGATTCCTTGCTGGTCAACCTGCGTATGGAGGCGGTCCACCTGAAGGAGCTGTTCTCCATCAATTGGCTGTGTGAGTCAGGTCTGGTGGAGAACATGGAGCTGGTGGTGGAGGAGTATCAGCAGAGCAGGGGACTACTGGTACGTACTGAAGCAGACAGGCAGCAGAAGACCAAAGTTGTACATGATGTTGAAAATACCTGTATTGGTTTTTAAAGCTCTGAATGGTCTTGGACCTAGCTATTTATCAGATTTGCTTTTAACCTCTGAGCCCTCTAGAACCCTCAGGTCTTCTGGTACTGGCCTTTTAATCATACCAAAAGTGAATACAAAGACCCATGGTGAGGCGTCTTTTTATTATCACGGCCCACGACTGTGGAATAACCCCCAGAGGGCCTGAGGCAGCAGACCACTCATACTTTTAGGAGCAAACTCAAGACCCAATCATTTGCTTTTAACTGAATTGTTTTGTATTCTTCTTTTGTTTTTGTTTTATTGTATGTATATATGTATGTATATACAGTATGTATTGATACATATATATAAATCTATATATATTTGTTTTAATCGCAAAGCTATGTGTTATACTGATTATTGACCTGGAAGGGGGAGTTAGTATTGTTTCTATTTGTGAATTGTCTATGTGTTTCTGTGAAGCACTTAGTGTTAGCACTGTGTATGAACGGTGCTATATAAATAAAGCTTGCTTTGATTTGATGATGACTGGTGTTATGTGTTCTCTGCAGCCCATCCGTGTGTGTGTGCTGGGTCCTCCTGCGGTGGGGAAGAGCTTGGTGTCCAGACAGATCTGTGAACACTATAAACTCCATCACATCACACTGAAGGACACCATCTCTCAAACCATCGCACAACTGGTGAGCTTCTCCTCAGGCAAACAAACCTGTGCTAGTGTTAACAAAACACAAATAATGGGCCTAAAATTCAATTTGTATCTTCTAGGAGGATACTGTGAGGAACGTTGATCCAGATGCTGATAATGAGGACTCTGCAGCCGAGGCTAAAGAGCTGCTGGGCAGCCTGAAGGAGAGCATGGAGAAGAATGGAGGTACACTCTGAGCACCAGGGGTACCCTGACCACTAACACCTGCACACAGCTCACAATCAGAATCTACTTTATTGTCGACACATGCAACAAATGTACTTTAGTGTGTGTGGGTGCATACGTTACGTTACATTACATTACATTGCATTTAGCTGATGTTTTTATCCAAAGCGACTTACAATAAGTGCATTCGACCAAGAAGATACAAACTTGAAGAAAACAGAATCATATAAGTACATCAGGTTTCATAGAGCCAAAACATTTCAAGTGCTACTCAACTGGCTTTAGATAAGCCAGTCCTTTGTTAGTATATAAGTGCTTTGTTAGTATATGAGTGCTTAGTTAGTATATAAGTGCTTTGTTAGTATATAAGTGCTTTGTTAGTATATGAGTGCTTTGTTAGTATCTAAGTGCTTTGTTAGTATATGAGTGCTTAGTTAGTATATGAGTGCTTTGTTAGTATATAAGTGCTTTGTTAGTATATAAGTGCTTTAGTTAGTATCTAAGTGCTTAGTTAGTATATAAGTGCTTAGTTAGTATATAAGTGCTTAGTTAGTATCTAAGTGCTTTGTTAGTATATGAGTGCTTTGTTAGTATATGAGTGCTTTGTTAGTATATAAGTGCTTAGTTAGTATATAAGTGCTTTGTTAGTATATGAGTGCTTAGTTAGTATCTAAGTGCTTTGTTAGTATATGAGTGCTTAGTTAGTATCTAAGTGCTTTGTTAGTATATGAGTGCTTAGTTAGTATATAAGTGCTTTGTTAGTATCTAAGTGCTTTGTTAGTATATGAGTGCTTAGTTAGTATATGAGTGCTTTGTTAGTATATGAGTGCTTAGTTAGTATCTAAGTGCTTTGTTAGTATATGAGTGCTTAGTTAGTATATAAGTGCTTTGTTAGTATATAAGTGCTTTGTTAGTATATGAGTGCTTAGTTAGTATATAAGTGCTTTGTTAGTATATAAGTGCTTTGTTAGTATATAAGTGCTTTGTTAGTATATGAGTGCTTAGTTAGTATATGAGTGCTTTGTTAGTATATGAGTGCTTAGTTAGTATATGAGTGCTTTGTTAGTATATAAGTGCTTTGTTAGTATATGAGTGCTTTGTTAGTATATGAGTGCTTTGTTAGTATCTAAGTGCTTTGTTAGTATATGAGTGCTTAGTTAGTATATAAGTGCTTTGTTAGTATATAAGTGCTTTGTTAGTATATGAGTGCTTAGTTAGTATATAAGTGCTTTGTTAGTATATAAGTGCTTTGTTAGTATATGAGTGCTTTGTTAGTATATAAGTGCTTTTTATTTTATTTTATTTTATTTTTATTTTTTTTTGCTCGAAGTGGAGTCGAAAGAGATGAGTTTTTAGTCTGCGCCGGAAGATGTGTAAGCTTTCTGCTGTCCTGATGTCAATGGGGAGCTCATTCCACCATTTGTAGCCAAGATAGCAAACCCACGTGTTTTTGCTGATGGGAATTTGGGGTCCCCCTCGCAGTGAGGGTGCAGCGAGCCGTTTGGCTGATGCAGAGCGGAGTGCACGTGCTGGGGTGTATAGTTTAACCATGTCCTGGATGTAGGAAGGGCCAGATCCATTCGCAGCATGGTACGCAAGTACCAGTGTCTTGAAGTGGATTCTAGCAGTTACTGGAAGCCAGTGAAGTGAGCGGAGGAGCGGTGTGGTGTGGGAACATTTTGGAAGGTTGAAGACCAGACGAGCCGCTGCATTCTGGATGCAGGTAGACCAGCCAGGAGGGAGTTGCAGTAGTCTAGGCGTGAGATGACGAGAGCCTGGGCCAGAACCTGCGTGGCTTTCTGGGTCAGGAGGGGACGTATCCTCCTGATGTTGTAAAGAGTGTATCTGCAGCAGCGGGTTGTAGCAGCAATGTTTGCAGTGAAGGACAGGTTGTTATCTAGGGTCACACCCAGATTCCTTGCAGTCTGAGTCAGAGGTGCCGATGTTGATTGTTAGGTCAAGGGTGGGACACTCTTTTCCCGGAAGAAAAAGCAGTTCAGTCTTGTCAAGGTTGAGCTTGAGGTGGTGAGCAGACATCCACTGAGAGATGTCTGCTAGACAAGACAGAATGAATTGGGTGTCGTCAGCGTAGCAGTGGTATGAAAAACCATGCGAGCTAATGACAGATCCGAGCGAATTTGTGTACAGAGAGAAGAGGAGGGGACCAAGTGCTAGTGGAGTACTTCAGGAAAGTCGACGGGGGGGGGGGGGGGGGGGGCTAGTGGAGTACTTCGTGACCACAGAGCGTAAACGTTGTGATCAGCTGTTTTAGCGCAGTTCTCCAGTGAAGGGGGGGGGGAGTCTCCCTCCGCAGCCGGTTGGCGTAGTTGTGGCACAATTCCGTTGTTCAGACCGACGTTAACAGCAGCCCTGTCTGTGCACACGGAGACCGACTCTGTCGTCCGGTGATCTAACCGCCTTCTGGAAAAGCTTCACAAGTACGTCGGTACGCAAATGTGCTTTGTGACACAAGTGACGGTACGCATTTCAGATTGTTGCCGCGCATGCGTACCTGCGTACCAGTTAAGTGCACCAACATCGGACAGGTTGAGAGTGGGTTTCTTTAGGAGAGGGTTTACTCTTGCCTCCTTGAGACTGTTTGGAAAGTGACCAGAAGTTAGAGAAGTATTGATGAGATGGGTGAGAAACATAAACACAGCAGAAGGAAATCAGTTGCAGAACTTTAATAGAACCATTTATTAATGATCAGAGATGGCAAAAGTACACACATCCTTTACTCAGGTAGAAATACACATCCTTTACTCAAGTAGAAGTACAGATACTTGTGTTTAAAAATACTCTGGTAAAAGTAGAAGTACTGACTAAACTTCTTTACTCAAGTAAAAGTAAAGAAGTATGGGCTTTGAAATGTACTTCAGTAAAAAGTACCCATAACTAGCAGCTGTTTTAAAGAGTACCTGACCTCCCTTTATATTAATAGAACAATAATGTCATTGTTAGCTAATGAATGTTTCCATGCTGAACAACGGCAACATGACAACGTTTTCATTGGTCCCTCTTCTTTAGAGAAGACCAGGAAATGATGGATACACGGATCGTGTTCAAATCAATAGGCACGCAATGACTCTAAAGAATAATGATCACGCCACCAAACACACATTCAAACTAAAGGAACCAGCCTGTTTGGAAATGTGAGAAGTAGAAAGTAAAGGTATTAGTGTTCAACATGTAAGAAGTAGAAAGTACAGGTATTTGTGTTCAACATGTGAGAAGTAGAAAGTACAGGTATTTGAGTTCAACATGTGAGAAGTAGAAAGTACAGGTATTTGAGTTCAACATGTGAGAAGTAGAAAGTACAGGTATTTGGGTTCAACATGTAAGAAGTAGAAAGTACAGGTATTTGTGTTAAACATGTGAGAAGTAGAAAGTACAGGTATTTGAGTTCAACATGTAAGAAGTAGAAAGTACAGGTATTTGTGTTCAACATGTGAGAAGTAGAAAGTACAGGTATTTGTGTTCAACATGTGAGAAGTAGAAAGTACAGGTATTTGTGTTCACACATGTAAGAAGTAGAAAGTACAGGTATTTGGGTTCAAACATGTAAGAAGTAGAAAGTACAGGTATTTGTGTTCAACATGTGAGAAGTAGAAAGTACAGGTATTTGTGTTCACATGTAAGAAGTAGAAAGTACAGGTATTTGTGTTCAAAATGTAAGAAGTAGAAAGTACAGGTATTTGTGTTCAACATGTAAGAAGTAGAAAGTACAGGTATTTGTGTTCAACATGTAAGAAGTAGAAAGTACAGGTATTTGTGTTCAACATGTAAGAAGTAAGAAAAGTACAGGTATTTGTGTTCAACATGTAAGAAGTAGAAAGTACAGGTATTTGTGTTCAACATGTAAGAAGTAGAAAGTACAGGTATTTGTGTTCAAAGTGTAAGAAGTAGAAAGTACAGGTATTTGTGTTCAACATGTAAGAAGTAGAAAGTACAGGTATTTGAGTTCAACATGTAAGAAGTAGAAAGTACAGGTATTTGGGTTCAACATGTAAGAAGTAGAAAGTACAGGTATTTGTGTTCAACATGTGAGAAGTAGAAAGTACAGGTATTTGGGTTCAACATGTAAGAAGTAGAAAGTACAGGTATTTGTGTTCAACATGTGAGAAGTAGAAAGTACAGGTATTTGAGTTCAACATGTAAGAAGTAGAAAGTACAGGTATTTGTGTCAAACATGTGAGAAGTAGAAGAAGTACAGGTATTTGTGTTCAACATGTGAGAAGTAGAAAGTACAGGTATTTGTGTTCAACATGTAAGAAGTAGAAAGTACAGGTATTTGGTTCAACATGTAAGAAGTAGAAAGTACAGGTATTTGTGTTCAACATGTGAGAAGTAGAAAGTACAGGTATTTGTGTTCAACATGTAAGAAGTAGAAAGTACAGGTATTTGTGTTCAAAATGTAAGAGTAGAAAGTACAGGTATTGTGTTCAACATGTAAGAAGTAGAAAGTACAGGTATTTGTGTTCAACATGTAAGAAGTAGAAAGTACAGGTATTTGTGTTCACATGTAAGAAGTAGAAAGTACAGGTATTTGTGTTCAACATGTAAGAAGTAGAAAGTACAGTATTTGTGTTCAACATGTAAGAAGTAGAAAGTCACGGTATTTGTGTTATCAACAGTTAAGAAGTAGAAAGTACAGGTATTTGTGTTCAACATGTAGAAGTAGAAAGTACAGGTATTGGTGTTCAACATGTAAGAAGTAGAAAGTACAGGTATTTGTGTTCAAAATGTAGAAGTAGAAAGTACAGGTATATTGTGGTTCAAAGTGTAAGAAGTAGAAAGTTAAAGGTATTGTGTTCAACAATGTAAGAAGTAGAAAGTACAGGTATTTGTGTTCAACATGTAAGAAGTAGAAAGTCACAGGTATTTGTGTTCAAAATGTAAGAAGTAGAAAAGTACAGGTATTTGTGTTCAACATGTAAGAGTAGAAAGTACAGGTATTTGGGTTCAAAATGTAAGAAGTAGAAAGTACAGGTATTTGTGTCAAAATGTAATGAAGTAGAAAGTACAGGTATTTGTGTTCAACATGTAAGAAGTAGAAAGTACAGGTATTTGTGTTCAAATGTAACGAAAGTAGAAATTACAGGTATTTGTGTTCAACATGTAAGAAGTAGAAAGTAACAGGTATTTGTGTTCAACATGTAAGAAGTAGAAAAGTACAGGTATTTGGTGTTTCAAAATGTAGAAGTAGAAAGTACAGGTATTTGGGTTCAAATGTAAGAAGTAGAAAGTACAGGTATTTTGTGTTCAACATGTAGAAGTAGAAAGTACAGGTATTTGTGTTCAACATGTAAGAAGTAGAAAGTACAGGTATTTGAGTTCAAAATGTAAGAAGTAGAAAAGTACAGGTATTTGTGTTCAACATGTAAGAAGTAGAAAGTACAGGTATTTGGTGTTCAACATGTAAGAAGTAGAAAGTACAGGTATTTTGTGTTCAACATGTAAGAAGTAGAAAGTACAGGTATTTGTGTTCAACATGTAAGAAGTAGAAAGTACAGGTATTTGTGTTCAACATGTAAGAAGTAGAAAGTACAGGTATTTGTGTTCAACATGTAAGAAGTAGAAAGTACAGGTATTTTGTGTTCAACATGTAAGAAGTTAGAAAGTACAGGTATTTGTGTTCAAATGTAAGAAGTAGAAAGTACAGGTATTTGTGTTCAACATGTAAGAAGTAGAAAGTACAGGTATTTGTGTTCAAAGTGTAAGAAGTAGGAACAGTACCGGTATTTGAGGTTCAAGTGTAAGAGTAGAAAGTACAGGTATTTGGGTTCAACATGGTAAGCAGTAGAAAGTACAGGTTTTGGGGGTTCAAAATGTAAGAAGTAGAAAGTAAGTTTTTATTTTGTGTTCAAAATGGTAAGAGTAGAAAGTACAGGTATTTGGGTTCAAAAGTGTAAAGAAGTAGAAAGTACAGGTAATTTGTGTTCAAAATGTAAGAAGTAGAAAGTACAGGTTATTTGTGTTCAACATGTAAGAAGTCAGGAAAGTACAGGTATTTGTGTTCAACATGTAACGAAGTAGAAAGTACAGGTATACTTGTGTTCACATTGTAAGAAGTAGAAAGTAACAGGTATTGGGTCTTCAACATGTAAGAAGTAGAAAAGTACAGGTATTTGGGTTCAAAAATGTAAGAAGTAGAAAGTACAGGGATTTGGGTTTCAAAATGTAAGCAGTAGGAAGTACAGGTTATTTGGGATTCAAATGTTAAGAAGTAGAAAGTACAGGTATTTGTGGTTCAAAATGTAAGAAGTAGAAAGTACAGGTATTGGGTTCAAAATGTAAGAAGTAGAAAGTACAGGTATTTGTGTTCAACATGTAAGAAGTAGAAAGTACAGGTATTTGTGGTTCAAATATGTAAGAAGTAGAACGTACAGTATTTGGGTTCAACATGTAAGAAGTAGAGAAAGTACAGGTATGTGGGTTCAAAAATGTAAAGAAGTAGAAAGTACAGGTATTTGGTTCAACATGTAAGAAGTAGAAAAGTACAGGTATTTGTGTTCAACATGTAAGAAGTAGAAAGTACAGGTATTTGTGTTCAACATGTAAGAAGTAGAAGTACAGGTATTTGGGTTCAACATGTAAGAAGTAGAAGTACAGGTATTTGGGTTCAACATGTAAGAAGTAGAAAGTACAGGTATTTTGGGTTCAACATGTAAGAAGTAGAAAGTACAGGTATTTGGGTTCAACATGTAAGAAGTAGAAAGTACAGGTATTTGTGTTCAACATGTAAGAAGTAGAAAGTACAGGTATTTGTGTTCAACATGTAAGAAGTAGAAAGTACAGGTATTTGTGTTCAACATGTAAGAAGTAGAAAGTACAGGTATTTGTGTTCAACATGTAAGAAGTAGAAAGTACAGGTATTTGGGTTCAAAATGTAAGAAGTCAAAGTAAAAAGTCTTCAGAAAAATAAGTAGTGGAGTAAAGTACTGATACCAGAAAAATGTACTTAAGTACAGTAATAAAGTATTTGTACTCCACTACTTCCCACCTCTGTTAATTATTTATTCATTACAATTACATACATTCAAAAAAATTAAAGGAAATGTTTACAAGAAATATAAATATACAACAAACAAAAGGAAGTACAGTAACAATATGTGTAGAATAGCAGAATTGAAAGTGAGAGAGGTGTAAAGTTTTACAAGATGTACGTTTAACAGAAATGTGCTAAATATAATGAAGAACTTATAACAGGTATACCGACAGAAGATGAAAATATGTTTCAGTCTTAGATTTTAAAGCTACTATAATCAGTATTTTATGATAAAAAAAATTCAAATAACAATATGAGGTTCAGCTGAATCCATACTTTTTCAGTGCTTGTTGTGAGTTTCAGTTCTCTGTTAAGCTAATGTTTGTCCATCAGGTCTTCTGGAGGACCATCTGCTGGTGAAGGTGGTGAAGGACAGGCTGATGTCCAACCCGTGCAGGAACCAGGGCTTTGTTCTCGATGGCTTTCCAAAGACATATGAACAAGCTAAAGAGCTCTTCTACTGTGAGACACTGACACTTGTGCATAATGAGAGAAACAACAGGAAGTCCTCCTGCATATCTTATTGCATTTTAAATGTTCATCGTTGACTTATTCCTGCATTTCACACCGTTATTTCTTTATGTGCTAAGTTTATTGTTTGTTGGACTGTTGGCCATGCCAGGACTTCAGATTTTCATTGCCAACAGCTACGCTTTAGCTATTGTGCATATGACGATAAACCCTTTCAATGTTTAAATCTTGAATCATTCAGCAAAAGAGTCAAGGTGCAACGTTATGATGGCATTATCATTTGTACGGCTATCTGCAGTACATACTAAAAGTAAAAAAGAAAGAGGGATTTGGAACGCAGCCATAGCTCTGACTGCACTACTGCATACTCAGTAAAACAGAATACACATTGTACCTGTATAAACATCCCTTTGCTTTCTTTTGTAGCTGAAGAACAGGAATCAGAAGACGGAACATCCCAGATTTCTTCATTCAGCAGGAAGATTATGCCAGGTCTCTGCAGGGCTATCCATATGCTTTATGTCCCCCCCAGCAGTAATGTAGGGTGGTGAAGGAATGAGTTCTAGAAACCAGAAATGAGTCAGCATTTTATCAAGTACAGTTCCATCGTCTCAAAGTCAGCAGTTTTTTAAATGGCGTATTGTTTAGATGCAACAGCAGAATCTTATCGGGTTTTACAGATATCAGTGTGTGTGTGATGGTTTCCTTGTGTGTGCTGCAGAGTGTGTGCTGAGTCTGGATGCGTCGGATGTGTTCCTTAAGGAGCGGGTGATGAACCTGCCTGAGAGGCTGGTGCAGGAGCACAGCTACGAGCAGGAGCACTTCCTGCTCCGCCTGGACAGACACAGAGAGAACAACATGGAGGATGAGAGTGTGGGGAACTACTTTGATGAGCTGGACACCACCCCTCTGTACCTGGGTAATCACTCACGCCTGTTGTGTGTTAAGGCCCTGACACACCAGGCCGAAATCGGCTGTTTTCGTTAGTCGGACGACGAAGCGTGCCCTGTCGCCCAAACTCAATTTGGTGTGTCCCGCACCGTCGGCCGTGACACGCCTTATTTGGCCTTTCATGGCCGACGCACGGCTGATTCAACATGTTGAATCAGCCGTGCGTCGGCCACAGACAGTCGGCCAAATAAATCACTCTGATTGGCTGTTCAGCTAGCGAATCAGTGCATGAGAAGCGAAACGGTTGCTTGAGAATGTCTTCCACAAGCAACACTCCAATGGCTGATAGCTCCAGTACCGCACGAAACATGTTTTCGATGGACGAGAGTGAAAATGGAACGCACACGCTATTTGTTGTTTGTTTAGATCACGCAGTCTGTTCTTCTTCTCTGTCTTCCGGTTGTTGCCTCTTTTGAATGACGAATACACACTACCGCCACCTGCTGGTAAGGAGAGTTATTGCCACTCACGCATGCGCAGTTCGTTCGTGCTCGGCTGAAGTCTTTGCGGTGTGTTCCAGTGCGACACATGGCCAAGACGCAGGAGAACACGGCGACGCAACAGTCGGCGTCGGCGAGTTCTCTGGTGACTGCTTAGTGTGTCAGGGCCTTTAGTTAGTGAGATGAGCCACAAACTGTGCTTTCCTTATCAATGTTCATTTGGATTTGTTAAATATAAAGTCAATCTGCCTTAGCCGCAGGGTTCCCGCTTATTTTGAAAAAGTTTCTAATCTTTTTTTTATTGATTTATTATTTTGTATTATTAATTCAAGTTAAGTCTTAAAAAAAGACATGGAAAGAAGGAAAAAAAGAGTGTTTGTTGACAATCTATTGTAAAATCAATGAATGAGCTTTTTTTGACTTTTTAAAGAATGATACATAGAGGTTTAATACCAATTAAGGTATTTTATTTAGATTAATTAGTAACTGCTTCCATAGTCTGAATCAATTGCAGATTGACTTTTTTACGTCCAGATCCAGATAGCAGAACGATTGTGCAAAATGATTGTAGGGTTAGGGTTAAGTAGTCATGCATCTAACCCTTCTATCCCTCCGGATATTGAAATCCTGTCCTAAGTGTGTCTCCTGTCCTCCTCAGAGATCAGCAGCAGCGAGGAGCCGGACTGCCTGCTGCTGATGCAGAAGATCCTGGACACACTGGGCCAGCCCAGGAACTACGGCCCCAGCTGCAGGGAGGTGGAGGAAGAGGAGAGGAGGAAGGCTGAGGAGAGGATGAAGAGAGAGGAGCAGGAGAGGGCGGAGCAGGAGAGGAGGGAGGAGGAGGAGGCCACACACAGGGCTGCAAGCTGGGACCAGTGGGTGGGTACTGCAGGAGAAGGTAACACTTTCACACAACAACGACTGTTCCCTCACGAGACTGACCCATGATCAGCGTGTTTATACCAAAGCTGAGAATACAGCAGACAGAAGAAAAAACAAATGTCACAATAAACCACTCTATTATTCCCCATTCACAATATCTCTTATGTAAAGGCAACATTTAAAATAGGCTCAAATATATTATTGCTTGGTATTTCTCCTCAACATGAATAACCCCTGATGGCAGACAGGAGCTCTATTAGGGATGTGTTACCATACATTCAGTACTAAACATGTGCCCATCTAACTTCTACAGTCCAATCAAATCTGTATAAAAATGATTGGTAACAACTAGATGACGAGTGAACTACTTATCTCTGATAATCTCAGCTTTTCCTACATTTCATATTCATAAGTCTTGCATACCAGAAAACAGCAAATGAGGAAAGTATTAGATCAGGCTAGGCCTTGTTATGTATAAAATACAAATCTTTACTCAAAGGTCCACTTAGTAGGTTTTGTTTACTAGGCTCCCCCTCTTATGGCCTGCTTCATTAGATGCACATTCTGGGGTTTGCTCTATTGTCATCCAGGGGTCATTTGGTAAGAAAACTATGACTATGTAATGTCAACAAACGTTTTGACAAGAGGGGATGACCGGATTTACAGGCAGCACACACAGACTGTGTCTCTATCAACATCAATATTTTTGCCAAAGAAAAAAAAAAAAAATACAACTTTATTAGATATAAAACTAGGTGGACATCAATCTGACGACCAACATTTCATCTGCGTTTTTTGCCTAAAATGTCCACTCAGACTTCAACTGAGTCTGAGTGGAACTCAGTAAAATTTTACTCAGATAAAACTAAAATGGACAGACTTTTAGACAACTGAACCTGGCTAAAAATGAAACAGGATGTGGTGGACTAAATATGATATAAACCAAGAATCTATCAGAAAAGCGCCCAGCGGCAGCACGTCTCACTCTGAGAATGATTTCCCTTTCTTTATTTTAGAAATCAAAGACGGGGAAGAGTAATATGTTTATTTTAAACATCCTTCACAGTACAAAGACCAACTCTCCACTTACACTTTCTTTACTCCCTGTGTTCACACAGTTTTACTATGCAACGGCTGGCTTCATTGAATGACTTTTGGTGGAAGTCTGCTAAGAAAGATCCCTTTTTAGCAGATTTTGAGGCATCGAGGAGAATCACAGGCAGATAAATGCATTATTTTTCTCTCTGTTAAATTGCATATTTGTGCATCATTCATGTGGTGCTGGAATTCTCTGAAGTCAGGACAACAACTAGAATAGTTGATGGGCATTTTGGTATAGGGCTTGTCAAGTTGACGTCATATCGTACAGAGACTATATGCTATGAGAGCAAATGTTGGGTTGATCACTCTGAGAAATATCATACAACACATCTTCCATTGTTGTTTGCAAATACTAACTTCATGAGCTCATAAACACACAGAAGTTGGAAGAAATACGACCATCTCAGCAGCATGTGAAGGCAACATCAGCCTTGGCAGACATTTCTGCTCTCAGAGTGCCAGTCCTAGTCAGCAACATTATCATTAGCCAACAGGATGGACCAAACAATAAACAAGTGCTAAACTAGTGTGTCCTGTAAGTGTCTGAGAGCCATGCTTTACATGTGTGATGCGTCCTGTCAGACGGGGGGTCTGAAGGAGATGAGGCAGCAGGAGGAGGAGCTGCTGGAGGTCCTGTCCGTCCCCATGACGATCTACCTGATGGAGCACGTCATGCCCACCCTGACCCAGGGCCTGGTGGAGTGCTGCACCGCCCACCCTCAGGATCCCGTGGACTTCCTGGTATGACTCAGCACTTCTTATTAAAGTCTGTTTGCAGCACCCGGAAATGTTGAGTACACCAAAGTTTTATGTTAGAAATAATAACAATAATAATAATAATAGATTCAATTTGTATAGCGCCTTTCAAGGGACCCAAGGCCGCTTTACATGGTGAACAAACAAAAGGGACAAATAACAAAGTAAAACATTTAATAAATAGCAGTAGGAGTGGAAGCAGGGGGACTGTGATGGGTTAGGGGTCAAAGGCCAGGGTGAACAGGTGAGTTTTTAATGATGACTTGAAGATGTCCAGGGAAGCAGCATTGCGGATCTCTGCAGGAAGTGCATTCCACATGGTGGGGGCCGCAACACTGACCGCCCTGTCAACAACAGTTCGGAGGCGAGAGTGGGGAATGGAGAGCAGGCCCGTGTCTGAGGCCCGCAGACTCCGAGAAGGGTGTAGGGATGGAGGAGGTCCGATAAGTACTGGGGGGCGAGGGCATGGAGAGACTTGTAATTGAGGAGGAGTGTTTTGTAGTGAATCCGGGACTTGACCGGCAGCCAGTGGAGGTGGATGAGGCTGGGGGTGATATGTTGCCAGGGCTTGGTGTGGGTGAGAAGCCTGGCTGCAGAGTTCTGGACATATTGGAGCCTCTCCAGGGCTTTGCTGGGAACCCCGGACAGGACTCCATTGCAGTAGTCCAGACGGGATGTGATGAAGGCGTGTATTAGCATTTCTGCCACAGAGTCAGAGAGTGAGGGGCGGAGTCTGGCAATGTTTTTGAGATGGTAGAAGGCGGATTTGGTAACTGTGACGGAGCGGATCACAGAGTGACCGACTCCGCCACTGACAGCCGGCGGCGCACACACACACACACACACACACACACACACACACACACACACACACACACACACACACACACACCACACACACACACACACACACACACACACACACACACACACACACACACACACACACACACACACACACACACACACACCTTACTATATATTTCTAACATAAAACTTTGGTGTACTCAACATTTCTGTGTTCACTGTTATTACCTCATATTGATGTTCCGCCTGGACATGAATGTGATCCTGATCATCTCTTCTGGTTTGACTCTTTCTAGGCGGACTTCTTGATCAGGAACAATCCCTTTAACTACTGAAGGTTGAGATCATTTCTTCTCTTTGGATCTACACTTAATGCAAATACAAAACACAAAAACTGAAATGAAATCTTTTTTTCTCTAAGCTTCCTGAGCTCTTTAATAAAGGACAGAGTGAAGTCAATAACATGCAGCATTTGTGCGGAGGAGGACCTTGTGGAGTTTTTTTCTCGCAGTATTTGAGCCATCAAATGTCCCCTGGTGCATGCTGGGATTTTGATTTGGTCTGATTGTAAGCGGGCCATTCTGCTGCCCCTGTTGTATTTACACACAGCTCTGTTTGGGCTCTAATGTGCCGGCCATTACTTAAAAGCACCCTAAAAAAGCGGATGAAAGTGAGTATGAAGCCAAAAGCTAATTAGGAAGTTAATTTGCGTAATGAACTCGGTAAACTCCGAAGTAGACACGCTCGGGTCATAATTGCTTTGATTTGGCTTCTGATATCCAGGAAGGATAAATGTTACAAATGCCAGCTAATTTGTGTCTCTCTCATGTTGCCACTCACGACTCCAAAGTGTACATAATTGGTTGCGACGGAACAGCAAATTATTTCATTGTACATACTTAATCACCACGCGGGGAAATTAGTGGAGTTTATTCCGGAAACATTGTGACGCAAGCCGCTGCGAGACAATTTCACCGCACCATCTGTGAGTCCCTCAAACACAACATGCAGACTTTCTGAGAGGGACAGAAAACATGTCGATTCAATATTCTCATAGTGTCATGCGATCGTTCTTTGTGACATTTAAGGCATTTCAAGTTCTACACTAATAACAGAAGAACTGTGTGTCCTGAACAACGTGTTCTCCGTTGCTCTCGTCTGATGACTCCTCAGAATCATCTGGTGGGTGAAGGGCTCCTCTAGATGAAACGACTCTTACCTGCTGACTTTGAGAAGGTCAAACTTGATGCACCTGGATCAGTGACAACAGTAAGATGCTACTCTATGTTTTTAGCAATCTACTTATATTACACACAGATAATGAAGTCATTTGACTTATGATACTAAGAGTAAGAAAGACAGACTTGATACATCCCTGAGTGGAATTCAGCGTTTCACTCTGGTGTTATTAACATTACACACATAGTTGATATATGCACAAACGGGACTACATGCAGTAGTGGATATGTGGCAGAGTGAGGGGCTTCTACCCGTCTGGTGCCCAGGAGCAGTTGCTCAAGGGCACCTCGGCAGGGCCCAGGAGGCGGACTGGAACCTTTCCAGCCTCCAGTCCCCATCACCTAAGTTACACGTTGTAGGAGAGAGACCTCCACATGTTCAGCACTGCACCCCCCTGTCCCCTCTCTGTGTTGAGCTGAAAATACATGGTACTCTTATATTAGTTGAGCACTATGTCATTTTATAAAGTGTTTCTGTTGTACTATATTGTAATGCTTTACATTTTCATTTTTATTTTTTGTAATTCCTTGAAATGTGCTTTATAAATAAACTTGCCTTGTGCGATTATGACTGCAGGACTTTAGCCTGTAAACCTAGAGCAGTAATGGACCGGACCTGAATTCAGTCAGTCAGCCTCCTGTCTATCACCTTCAGAATATATCCAGGATTAAAAGACTTCCGTCTCAGCAGGACCTGGAGAAACATATCCATGCATTTCAATCTGTCAGTTTCTTTACAGGTCTCACTAAAAGATCTATCAGAACGCCGCTGCTCGAGTCCTCACTAACACTAGTGAGATCAGTCCAGTTCTGAGGTCTTTACACTGGCTTCCTCACTAACACTAGTGAGATCAGTCCAGTTCTGAGGTCTTTACACTGGCTTCCTCACTAACACTAGTGAGATCAGTCCAGTTCTGAAGTCTTTACACTGGCTTCCTGTCTGTCAAATAATTGATTTCAAAATACTGCTGCTGGTTTATAAAGCATTGAATGGTTTAGGCCCAAAATACATTTCTGACCTCCAGCTAAATTATGAACCATCCAGAACTCTCAGGTCTTCTGGGACTGGTCAGCTTTCTGTCCCCAGAGTCAGAACTAAACATGGAGAAGTTCAGTTATTATGCTCCAAATATCTGGAACAAACTCTCAGAAACCTGCAGGTCCACTGCAACTCTTACTACTTTTAAATCCAGGCTGAAGACTTTTCTTTTTGTCAATCATATCTCACACTGCACTGTAACTTTTATTACGATGTACTTTTGAAGCTATTTTCTTGGCTGCTTCATGAGCAGATTTCAGCGGAGCCCCTCTCTGGGTTCATGTCTGGTTGTTTCATTATTGAAGCTGAAACTAGCAGTGGATGCCACTAGGGGGCAGTGTTAGATCATTTATAAGCTCTCACTGAGATATGATTATTATGGGATTACTCTGTGATCTTTTTCTCCGGATGATCTATTAGATGTTTTTATGACTTTGATCAAATCTACAGTTTAGGACAGAATTCATCCTCACTGAACCCTGAACAGCTGTGAATGTTTAGATTCAGATCCTGAGTTCTCCTCTCTGTCACTGCAGTGATGAGGAGTCTCAGTGATCATGATGCCAACCCACTAATCATCCTTCAGTAACAAGGTGCCCAGCCGTCACCATGCCAATACTCCAAACACATCACAGCAGGGAGTGACTCTGACACAGTTGTATAACGTCATGGCGGGAGAGAGAAAGGGTTTGGGATGACAGGAGAGAGGCTGAGGAGCAGGACCACCTCTCCCCCTCCTCACCATGTTCAAACTGCTGGACAGAATGCGGCAAACCATCGGCATATATTCCCATCATGCAAATCTCTAAGTGCCTTCTGGGAAATAACTTAAACTGTCAACTATTTCTGGTATTTTGCTAAATAAGAAGTGAGAAGTAGAACTCCATACAACACCAAACATTCTGAATGACCCCCTGATTAGACATGAAGGATGTATCTGTCATCTTTTAACCATATGTTGTTTTTTAAAAGATCAGATTTTTGGATTGTTACCATATATATTCAGGTTTTTTGTTGAATGCACTTATTGTAAGTTGCTGTGGATAAAAGCAGTAAATAAGTTAAATGTATAATAAGCAATAGTGATAAGAATCAAAGCGGGGAAAGAACAAAATAATTTAAATAATGTATTAGTTGAAAATATTTTGTGTCGTTAATTCATTCTGCTAAGTAACTCAATTATAAAGAAAGAAAAAGGATGGGAAACTTAAAGGATGGTCATTCACATATTTCAGATGATTTTCTTTCCTTCGTCAGAACATTTGAATCTTTTTTTCTATTGGAATTTAAACCGTTTTTTAAATTAAATATATCAAATTAACCATCTTGAATCACCCACGCTACCTTCATTGCTTTAACTCTCATATTAACTCTACAGTTAGATCAGGAACTTTGCTGTTATAAATGAAGAGAGTGAGAGTGTCACATCTCACACACTGCTGCAAGCTGAGCACATCTGGACTCAATCCACTGTCACTGATGCTGGTCACTGTTCCCTAACACCCCTAATCCACTCAGAACACACACACACACACACACACACACACACACACACACACACACACACACACACACACACACACACACACACACACACACACACACACACACACACACACACACACACACACACACACACTGAAGACTGCAAACTCACACCCAATAGACAAAGACACACGGTATAGAGACAGAATGACCCACTGCCGGTTTAAGTTGTCAGTGCCACACACACACACACACACACACACACACACACACACACACACACACACACACACACACACACACACACACCTCCCTAAATCCTGACACCAGCCTCGTTGTGAGCACTCGGAGAGGGAAATGTGTTTTGTTGCTTAGGAACAGTTTGCCTTGCATCTCAGCAGGGGGTCTCCTTTTGAATATCATTATGTCCCCTCGATTGGGGAGGACGACACATTTTTCTTTTCTGCCAATATTTATCTTGGGCTCTTCTCGCTCTCTGGAGGCCCACAAAAACGTTTTCATTGATTAAAGGTGGTGGAAAGCAGATTCTGCCAGCAGACGCCTCACCTCTTTAATGTAAATATATCAAATGGGCTGCACCGCTGCAGGAGTGGAGGTGAGGAGCAGCTCTGCTTTCTGTGGCCCCAACTCTGAGAGGGGAGAGACGTTAGGAGGTGTTGGAGAGCCTACACCTCAAATACACTGATAGAACACACAGCTGCAGACCTGCTCACAACCTTTATACTCTATGTACAGTCTGGCTATGATTGAGGACAGCGTCCCCGTAAAGCAGGGGTCAAAGTCAAACATAAAAAAGAAACAGAATAATAATAATAATAAAAAAGTACACTTAAAATAACTAAATAAATGTTAATAATTGAACACATTCAACAAGATTGTTTTCAAAAACACAAATGTCACTTGTTTCAGCAGAAGGAGCTTAATGTTCGTCACAAACTACATGACCTGTCAACAAATAGCAGTGGTCCAACTGTGGACGTTGTGATCGCAGTGATTTATAACTTCTAACAGCACTAGTTTGATTGGCTGCATGAAATCATGAAATCATGAAATCTAACCTCTGAGGGTGACACTATTCATAGATCTTTATTATATGAAACATATGAATGACTCATCATTCCGCACATGCTGGCTGAGGTTGAGTTTGAAGCTCTACAGAACCATTTATTTTGAACCGATGTATTTGATGTATTTATATATAGTGGACCTGGAGTCCTTGGTCACATGATAACATAGGAGTGATATCAATCTAAAAACCTGACCTATCACACCTTTAAAAACTCAATGCTGCCGTGTCTCAATCTGACAACCAACTGCAACGCATGCAAATGCACTAGCATCAGGATATAGTAGAGTTATAGTCAACCCTTGGATATCTGCAGGGAAATGAAACTTGGCATGTTTCAAATAAAGTTCAGAGATTGTGATCGAGTCTAATTATTTTCACTGAAATATTTGTATTACATTTTTGATAGAACAGACTCACAAACATTACACACTGCACACATACACCCCCTCCCCTTCCCCAGTCCCAAAATCACACCTGATGATCTTGTGTCATTTGAGTTAGAAAAGAAACTCTTTACACTGTCAAATGACATGTTTATATCACTGGACATACATATATATGAGCTATGAAAAACAGTCTGACAATCAAACTACCCTGGCACTTTGATATGACTTATAACATATAGATATATTCCCTCTTCATGTTACCTTAACAACTTTATTATCTTTGGTTAAACCCAAGAGTTATATGTACTATTTTCTAACCAATGCACTTACTTGTAACCTGCCTATATATTTAATATCACATCCTGCTACAGCTTAAGTTGAAAACATTTGCATATCTTTTTGACACACTTCCAATATACCATCACTTGCAGCTGTTTCTATCACATTCCCAGTGATGTCATTTGTCCCAAAGCGTCACCTCCTGTCCTTTCTCCTTAAACAAATAGACCTCAGCCCAAAGGCATAACATTCAACGCAAACCGACATCCTAATGCACATTCTTCACCCCTCAGTCAGTGAGGAGCGGTGTGCACATGCAGAGGCCTCCCGTCCCAGTAAGACCCTCCCCTGTAAACACACCTTTGCAAAGTACACTCCACCTGTCAGTCAGAAGAGCGAAGAAAGGGCAACTGTTGCATCAACGAAGTTCTCCAACGGTTACAGAACAGCTGCAAGTAAGCATAGCTTTACATATTTGTTCCAATGACTTATTAGATGTTTCTGCAAACCC